AATATTCCGTAATTTCTTATCACTGCCCTCTTTTATAGGCTTGCGAGCTATAGTGCCTATATAGGGCGCTTTTGAGGAAACCTTGGTTTCATATACCAGATATAAATAAAATATAAAAATAAATATATAAAATTTTAAGGGTTTGGATCACAGGAGATCCACACATCGTCTTACATTAAATTCGGAGACAATGTTGAAAATCATTCTTTTTTTACATCAGACTCAGTGACCCGGAAGCTAGGGGCAAGTTCGCTCAAGAACTATTGCTGACCATTGGTCAACCATAGTTCGACTAAAGTTAGCCCCAACTTTGTCCAGTCGACGGTGGTTGACTACGCTAGTCGACTTTTTGGAACCAAATTTCTGGGGCTTGTTGCACCGCTGGTAACCAATAGCCGCGCGCATTCATAACGTACAGCAGGGAGCCAGGATCCAGAAGTTTTGCGATGACATTTTGACCAGCGTTTGACTAGAGACGTTAGTGCGCAGGCGTAAGGTACGTCACAAATTAACCACTAGTCGACTAATGATCGTTGCCCGAATTTGGCCTATTCTTGCCTGGCCTATTCGCATTTCCAGCAATGAATAAAACCATAAATTATGAGCCAAAGCTATCTACGTCAGGCTATTGTCGCATAATGCTTTCCGTTCAGTGGCGTCTAGGAACTCATGTTCACAATAATGAACATACTTGTGTTTGGAATATTACTAGTTTTCGAAAAGAAATGTGTTTTGAATGAATCAAGACTTAGCACTTCAACGGCTCCATTTTCGAGGACCGACATTTTTAGTGTAATTCGAAATTCCAGTGCGCGATATACACGAAAGCCACAACATAATAAGAAATAGATGCATGTACGTCGATATACTTTTTAGTGATCTTTCTGGCGAACATTTTTCCACGTTAACGTGTTTCAGCGACCAAAATGGTGCATTCCGGTCAAAAGTACTCCTTCGATAAGACTGCCTATCATTTTGGAAGATGCTCAGGCTAGACTTATAGTACTGCTTGATATATCTTGGTGTCTAATACCCTTCCTGTTAGTAAGGATCATTCGCGTTCGGGATCCAACCCTGATGGCAGAAGGTCGAAACCGAAGCGGTATGAAGGATTTCAAATACATGTTTATGAGCGGTTCGTCTCAAGTCAGCCAGATCTCCGTGGTCAGCGCATTTCCTTCTATTTTTTTTGTTCTGTTTCTGTTGCTCGGTAAAATGAACCGACCGGAAAAAAACGCCGACCCTGACCGTTCCTTATCGGTCTTGGCTTCCATAGCAACACGATATCAAATTATGTTTGTAGGATATGGGCTCGAGGATGGGAAGAACCAGAGATGTGTAAAAATAAAAAGAACTGTGGGGAGGGGGACAAAGGGGTCATTGTTGTTTAAATCGATAGTAGCGATCGGGTGAAAAGGTTGCCAAACGTGTGGTTTTATTCAAATGTGGTTGTGTGGGCTTGTTGAAAGCAACAACTGAGTCTGAGAGAGTCAATAATCATGTCGGTTGCTCGATCCAACTAGTATATGATTTGGTAACCGCTCAGGCGAGCTATGAGAACAACAAGGTTCATTCCGCGGGCAAGCATTTGTAACAACAGCAACTGAATGAGATTTGGCCCAGGCACTGTTTACTCAAGCGTTCCATTAATTACATGTATACATGAAAAAAAAACCAGTGTACCATGTATTTCGAAACAAAAATGAGAAATTAACATTGCAGATTGTTTTCAGACGTTGGATGTATTAAAGAAATTAACTTTAAACTCGAACTACGAAGTTGGGCGGTATCATTGCAGTTTTCGTGTTGTTATTCCCAGTAGTATAAACAATCGTGAGTAGTATCCATGAATGAATCGGTCTGACGTCATACTCCCAGTTTCATTCCAGCCATCTCTTCTTAAAGGTGATGGACACCATTTGCAAAAACACTTTCATGGAACAACAATTAATATATGAAGCGGGTTATGAAAATAAAACTTGTCGAAATTTCAGCCCAACAGATACACTTTTTGAGGTAACTGTGAAAATGTATTTCGGTTCATTTTTTTTCTCGGCGCAATGCATAGGTTTGGTCGTAACCATCTCAAGGATATGATATGGTAATTCTTCTTTCTGGAAAAAGACAACATACTAGGCGCAAGGATTTCGCAGGATACATGATCCTTTTTAATAATTTTTACGTACAGTCAATTAGAATATTTCATAATATTCATTGTAAACGACCCAGATGTACACTTTAAAGATACGACGCTTCTCTCATAATACGACTTGTTCAAAATAATGATGACCAAATGACAGACGTAGAAATCTATTCTTTCTTTCTTGCATGTGAAACTAGATCACAAATTGCCCAGCTGACAAACTTGAACTTCACAGAGCAGAACTTGGTATATCAATTCATTTTAAATGCATTATCTATAACTTGTGGAGTTTTTAATGCATTTTTTTTCTCAGGTACTTGAATTGAAAATATTATTATACTGTTCATATTTTGGAATATTATACTAAAGGGAGTCAGGTGGACATCGCGGTACTTTCCTCGCCTTCCACCGCTTTGACCCGGGTTCGATTCCTGTCTGGGCTAAATATGAGGATTGGGCTTTCAGTCCCTACCTGATTCCATGGGTTTTCCTCCGAATATTCTTCTGGGGTTTTCCTCCAATATCTTAAACTGTAATTTCTTGACACCGTCTTCACTTTACTGGGCCCCATGGGAGACCCGCAGATTCCACTGAATGGGCCAATTAAAACAAGAATTAAATTAACTTAGATTATAAAACTCCAGCTATTATTAATAGGTGGATTTTTAAACGAGGGTATTAGGAGGAACAACACTAAACTCAGTGATTACTGGAAGAATGACGCGCGATAAACATTTCACTTTTACAATAAGGAGTAAGATTTGATTGGAATCTTCACGGAACATAATTTAAAACGGTTTACTATTCTTGCAGATAACCTCATCCGTGATAAATAGATATAAAGTTGGCCCTCCCGTCTTTCGGAAAACCATACTGACTGCATTAAACGTGGACTATTAAAATAAAGCTTTATGCGGTGGAAATCATGAAAGCTTGGTAGCTTAACACAGCGCCCTCAGTCGGTGCCGTTTTATGCGGTGGAATTCATGAAAGCTTGGTAGCATAATACAGCGCCCTCATTCGGTGCCAGATCTAAGCGATTTTTTTCTTAGAATTAACTGCACTTAAAGGGTGCACACACTAATTTAAGTGTGAAATTCTACGCGAGCTCATTCGCACGAAAGGTGCACCCACAACCTTTTTTGAATAAGGAGAATGTTTGGCTAAAAAATTATGGGATTGTGTAAATGTAGCCGAGGATCAACTCCGTGGTTTTTGGGCTTCCATCTGACTAGGGCAGACTTGATAAAATTGCGGTTAAAAAATGGGCCCCTTTTGCATGAGAAAGTGGAGGGATGCCATCTGTAAAATGGCTGCATGCAGGGTTGGGAACTATCACTTTTTGGGAGGTGAGTTTGTTTTGGTGTGAATATTTGAAAATGTAATTGGCTAACCCACCAAAACTTTAAAAGAAATGGAAAGATGTAAGACAAGACAATTATTTAATTTGTGTTTGAGAAACCCCATGGAGGTGCCGAAATCGTCAAAAATCATACAACCTCTCGAGGCGACGTCAGTCCAATAACGGTCGCCCCTAGAGGTGTCGGTGCCGTGAAATATCATACAACCCGTTCTATGGGGCGACATTAGTGCAATAATGGTCGCGCCCTTAAAGGTGCCCATGCCGTCCAAAATCATGCAACCAGTAGGAACGCCATCAGCGAAATAATGGTCACCCTTAGGGGTGCCTATGCCGTCGAAAAATTACAATGTATACAACCTCTAGGGGCGACACCAGCGCAATAATGGTCGCCCCTGCAGTCGGCATGCATGTTATTTGGCGCTAAACTGTGTTAATTTTACACCCGTTTTCAATGGGGCTCGAATTGTTGAGGCGCACCCTCACTATTCGTTCCGGTCTGTGGTCCGTGTATAGGCTATTGTCCTGTTCTCGGCAAGGACACTTTTTGACATAACAACAGACGAATCACAACGAAGACCATGAACCCCGCTCAGATAATACATCAACGTACTAAGCTGCATTGCGGCCGTTCTTTCTTTGCTTTTTACCAAATTTCACTTACTGTGCAGACAGCATAATCACGGTTGCGTACGTGGTATATTATACCACGTACGCAACCGTGATTCTGTCTGCACAGAAAAAACTGGATATATTATATCCAGTTTTTTCTTGATTTTTATTAACCCTCCGAATATGGACTAACTTGTATCCAAAGAGCAAGAAGTTGAAGAACCCTTTGTGCATTCACTTTATCCAATAATTTTGGATACGTATGCAAATTCGGATCCTGGTTGTCCTTTGTTTTGGATGCGGTGTCTGGGGTAAAAACGGAATCTAGTCGTCGCAGCGAGATATCCCGCCAATATGTAGTATGTTATATTGCATATTAACATGAGACAAATGGAAAGGGGTGGATTAATGCAGCTTTCGTTTTTGCTAAGTTGTTTTTTAGGGTGTGTTTAATATTGATGTAATTTAATTTTATAGTTTTAATGCGGTTTTTTTTTTACAATTGTAGCTTTTACTGTAACTTGGTTATTGGCCACGAATGTAAAAACAATAAACTATCTGTATCTATATATTTTATAATTGCAATGAACGTTAAATAACAACACCAAGTATATCAATCTGTTACTTGGTAATTGCGGTGTCGAACCAAGGATACAGGAAGCAATTAAGTTTCCAACCCATGGCTTATTATTGGAAACGAGGTTGAAAATACTGTAAGCCCTGGGGACGACGTTGTGATACATGTAACTTCACGTTGTGTCATCGACCATGGTACAAGTGCAATATACGTACGATACTTCTCTAGCTCTATGGGCCGGGTCAAGGCCGGATTAGGTAAGTCAAAACTCTCCGCGCACGAACTAGCGTGCCATCATACAACTACTTTTTACGTCATTGTACAGGTTATTCAGTGAAAGTTTTCAGCTGAACTATAATTGCATGGAGAAACTGGAGAAAAAGATCTTCATGTTGCCTTGAGCTTTGTTAAGTAGGTACTCAACTATCAAGAAGACCTCCTGATCCTGTGCTACTCCATGTTAAGACAAGGTAAGGTTTGTGATACTAGTGTTAGTTTCGTAAATGGATATTTTTCCACATTCGGAGCCTCCCACGTATCGGAGAAAAGATTATACTAGGCCTATAATGAAGATATCCGTATGTGCTAAACGTGAAGTGAATGTCATGGTATAGGTCCCAATGCAAAACAGGATACTCATCGGATCAACACTAGGGGGAGGGAAAGAATTCTACACCGAGGCCAGCAGTTAGCACTCATATACCTTAATATGAAGGTACCAAAGGTTGTAAATCGGATGAAGAACACTATTTTATAGTGCAAAAATTATTTGATAATACGCTAACTTTTTCTGTAAGGCGAAGTACAAAAAAAAACCACATGTTTCTCGATCGTCCCCGCCCGCTTCCTTTTTGGAGGCCGCCTGGATTTTTTTATTATTTTTTATTTTTGAAAAATGCAGTAAAAAAACACCGAAAAAGTCCACGGTTAAAGCAAATGCACCGAAAACGTTCATTGTAGACCAATACAACTCTAAATGACACTGTACAAATAATGTTTAGTTTCTCTTGTCCAACTTGTCTTTCATTTTAAAAGTATCTTTGAACAGTGGAAACACGCAACGGTTGCAGGAAATTTTAAAATGGCGGCCATCTTGAAGATTTAAAAAATAAAAAATAAAAAGCCCAGCTTCCTCCTTTTTTTTGTCAAAAACCCGCACAAGAAACATTTTTTTTAATTCGGCCTTATGGCCCGTAGACTTTGTGCAGTACGTGGTGGCCGCGTATGTAATTCTTTCCATGGGGACTAAATGCTCACGCTAGCAGACTGTTTCATGTTCATGATTGACGTCGGATGGTGCCTTACATGTATATTTCGGTTGTGTAAAAATCAAACTGTTGTGTACTATATGAACCAAGCAACCTTTTGTGTAAACTGTTGTTTACACAACTTGTGTAAAATATAACACAACTTGTTCAATTTTTTTTTACACAACCGGTTGCTAAGTTCATATAGTACACAACCGAAATAGTGGAAATGTGCCATCTCTATGACGAGACATTTTATTTCTCGGGGCAGAATGGCATTCACGTGCCATGTTAATGGTCTCATACACGCCAATAACTGTGTTTAACACTTAAAGCTGACCTACCTTCAAGTCGGGAAGAAATCGTTCAAAAACGTCCCCAAAATCTCAAATCTATGTATGTATATCAATTTCTAGAAATTTTCGAAAGTTGTTATTTCATGAGTAGTTGAACACTTACTTATCATCTAAAAATATGCCGAATTTCAGCTTAAGTTGATGTTGCAAACGAAACGCTAGTGTTACACCTTGAACTATATCCAAGGACAATTTTGACGAGGATTGTTTTCCAACCAAACCATCGTGCATGGTTTTCAGCAAAACTCCTATAGCGCCGTTTACCCAGTAATTGTTGGTGTATTTTGCCCTCTCTGTCAACAGGAAACAAGTCGCGGTATATTCAACATGGAAGGCAAAATAAAAGGAAATGATTCAGTAGTTTGTGAAACAGAACCGCTATTGAACAGACGAGCCCCTAAGCTATCTGGCAGAGAGAGGGCAGCATCACGATGGGTGACAGTGGAGCCCCTACTTCTCTTGGCAGCATGCAGCTATATGTTGACCGCTGTCCTTCGCATCCAGTATGTACTAGTGAGGGTACAGGAGTCTTATAACTACACCGTTCACACGGATTCACCTTGCCCAGTTCGGAACCAGACTGGTAATATGAGTTATATTTCGGATGCTGACACCCAGGCCCGGATCCAGGCGGACTCCGCTCGCTGGATGTTGTTCTTTAGTCTCGCTGGAGCTCTTCCGGGCTTCGTCTCCGCGATCCTCATGGGAGCTCTGTCCGACAGGTTCGGCCGCAAGATATTCCTCAACCTGTCGACCATCGGCAGTGCAAGTTTCGCCGGTGTTTGCACTGCCGTGATGGCGTTCAATCTTCGCCTGGAGGTGTTCTACGCCGCCGATCTTGCCTTCGGCCTGACGGGCGGGCAAATGTCGGTGCTATCCCTTTGCTACTCCTATATTGCAGACGTGACTACCAAGAAACAGCGCACCTTCAGGATAGTTGTGATCGAAACAGTCTTCGTCCTTGTTGGACTGTTTCAAGTTGGGGCCGAGTATTGCTACGAAGCTCTTGGCTTTGCCACCACCGCGGGAATCGCGACGGGTCTGGGAGTCCTGGCCTTCATTTACTCTGTAATTCCACATATCCTGATCGAGACAATCGAGAGGAAGGGTCAGCAGCCACTAGTTCAGACACTGAGGCAGACTGTACGAGGCGTGGGACGGTTGTTTTACAGCGAGGGAGGCGCTGTACGCACCTGGTGCTTGCTACTCATTTTCGCCACCCTCTTCATGCTAACCCCGATGGAATCTTCGTTCCAGGTTAGAACATTGTACGTGCAAGCCGAGCCCTTCTGCTGGTCACCAGTTACAATCGGGTACAACGCCGCCCTGTTTAGTACTGTCTTACTTGTTGGTGAGTGTTGAGTTCAAATATTTTAATTGAATGGCTGTTCGCAAACCCTTCTAAAATGTATAGGCTAGATAACACCTCAGGCAGTCGTAGTTCTTTACCGATGTTTCAGATGGTAATCAATAATTTTTGAGAAGCTGTGACGTGTTTATCAGAATGTGGTTGAATACATTTCGGTTGACAGTTTTTTTCTATGTTTTTTTGGGGGGAGGGGTAGTTATTTTTATTGCCAAAACATTTGAAATTATTGCTTGCAAGACCTGCTGCTGTATTGGATTCTAATCGACCAGTCATCTCTAGTAAAATCTGTTTAATAGTGATGTGATGTCTGCATAAATAATATGGTTCGGGTTCTATTGGAGCAAGCTTGCGATCGCACGCCCAATGTCAAGCTGTGCCAGCATATTTACATTCACTGTGTGAACTTCCGGACAAAAGAGGTCCACATAAACCAGGTAGCAGCGACGTTGTGTGGACTTGCCCACGTCCACACAATGTTTCCCCCTCTCTGGAAAACAGGTTTAGAGACATTTTGGGGTTAGGTTTATCCGTGGCAAAATGAAGAGAAACACTAAAGGGAATCATAGGGGGAAAATGGTTGAAAGAGTCTTCACATTGTGAGTATAATGATTCTTTTCACAAGCATAAAGTACTCGTGCGAATAATATAAATGTTTTTGTTGTTGTTTTCTAATTTAAATAGGTAACATCGGAGGCTTCAAATTGTTGTCAAAATGTTTCAGCAGTCAGTGGATCTTTCACATATCCTGTTTCAGTACAGTTGGGGTATACGTAGTGTTCGGGCTGGTGAGAGCAACTGAGCTATTTTTTTGGGGTGAGCACTACATCTATGTCTTAATTATCTTTAACCTTGTCACCTTTCATCCATTTTGTGTAAAAACAACGTCGAATTTACATTACCATTAACCAAAACGGTTTAAAGTCGACCCTTATTTTTGGAAGCATTTCCGTAACATCGGTGTTTGGCGATTCAGTTTTCAGTGAAATCTGAATTCACATAGCAAGGTCATTCTGAAATGTGATTTTAGACTTTGCGTTGTATTTTGGATTAAATTAGGTGGACATTCAGGTGACTAACTCTAACGAAAAGTGTGGGTGTAGATGTAATTTAGGACTTTACGTGGTAAAGCGTACAATGTGGGCTAAATTTTCAACTTCATACATACTGACATTTTTATCCTTGTGGAGTCATTTGTTCCGAGTCACGGAAAATGGGATTCGTGTCGGACTGCAGTCCGAGTCCGAGAGTCACTAGTCGCACTAATCTGCTCATATCTTACCTTGTCATTTTGGGAAGGGGTAAAACTTTAGATTTCCATTTGAATGGTTATGGGTTTCAATCCTCAATCCATTTTAATCCAGAGCAGATTTCTTGATTTCCATATTGACTATTTGATTTCTTTGCAGCGATACTTTTAACAGTGATCACGGGATTGTGTTTCCCTGTCCTAAGAGGCACGCTTTCCCAACTGGTTGGAGCCGACGAACAAGGTAAATCGTGAAAGTGTGGAAAAGACGGTAGGACAAATGATGCATGGGAGTCCTTATAGTGATTATCAAGGGGCAAAACGGTTGGGCATAACGAACTTTGTATCAATTAATCTTCGTTGATTTACAAGAGTGTGGTGACGTGATGAGCTTCAGCCGGTATTTCCACCCTGTTAAGAGTCCCGGGTTAGAATTGACCCTGAAGGCTGGGTCATATTTGACTTGATAGGGTCGAAATGACACTTTTCTCGTGGAACAAAATGACACTTTTCTTGGTCAATTTCCTGAACATGTTGGCCCAGAAAAGTGTAATTTTGACCCTAAAAGGCATTCAGGTCAATACTGGTCAAATAAAACCTGGATTCCTGGCCAAAGCTGACCCGAACGTTTTAGAGTGTACATAACATAGGGCCTATAACTCCCATCCTGTCTCGGCATCTTTGGTAAAGTCTTTAGGGTGATGTTCAAGGAACTGGTTCGCATGCAGGTTCTTGGCGGTATGATGGGGTAGGGCATAATGAAATATTAGGCACATGCTATCACATATTGGTTGTGGTTGTTGTTTTTTGTTGGGGGTATTTCTTTATTTATCAATTCATTATCAGTCCTCTAGAGTTCAGGTCCATTTACTCTCAATAAAAATTATGACCTGATCGACCGACTACCCCCATAAAATAATGCCTTTCCTCCATGTAGGTGTTGCTTTGTCCTTCCTCGCTTGTGTGGAGAACTTCGGCATGTATGTCTCACCCATAGCCGTCAACGCAGTTTATATGGCTACCGTAGCATCTTACGCCCCACTTGTGTTCTTTGTGATAGCTGGGATCACTTGTGTACCGCCTGTGTTATTCGGGTACGTAGCCTACGCATTTATGTTGCACAGTACGGCATAGGCGTAGCCAGCAGGGGGGGGGGGGGGGATAAGGGAGGTATTTACCCCCCCCCCCAATATTTTGTAAAGACTGCCTTTTTCCATTCAAATGCCCTTTTTTCAACGGTTTTACCCCCCCCCCCCCATAATTTGTAAATAGTGCCCTTTGTCTGAACGAGTGCCCTTTTCAAAAAGAAGTGGTGCCCTTTTTGTGGCATCTGCCGTTTTGGGTGCCTTTTTCAGAATTTCGCACGTGCATCGCCCTAAAAAGCACCATATATTGGGCCTTTGTGTGCATAATTGTCGGCTTTGAACAGCGCCCCCATCGACAGATGGTACCAGCCCCCCCCCCCCCAATTATTTGCTCTGTTTTTTTTTTGATGAGGCAATTGAAAGCCCGTGTTTATAATTTGATTTGACTATTAGTCTCTTCAATAATCTTACGTTGGTAATTCACAGTTACATATTATTTTGAACATTGGTTTGTATTTGTTTAAATCCACTCATCTTCTTTGTTTTATATCCATTAAAATAACAAGCAAAACAAATCACCTCCATTAAACCCAATATGAGTTACCCCATACAGGCCTTATACCTACGCTAGAGAAATACTTTTGATGTTTAAAATGAGTACCGATACAGGCCTTATACCAACGCTAGAGAAATACTTTTGATGTTTAATTTCTGACGTTTATTGAAGACGTTCACTGTTTAATTTACTTTTCTCTGCAGGATTATGCACGTCGTCATTAAACGCTCGATCGACCCACAGATCTTGGCATCCCACAGTGACTGACTGACCGTGAGCACACGTCATTCAACCACGCTTGAAAGTGAAATGACGTTCTTTATAACTTAACCCCCAGTCACACAGCTACAAATATCCACGGTTTACCACGAATCAATCGATCACGATGAACCGCCGAGATTCGTGGCCGAGAATCGACTTTCTAAGAAATGCACTACGGTTTCTATGACGGATAACCACGGAGGTACTAAGGATGAATGGTTACGTCTCGATAATCCGAAGTACCATTGGTCCGAAGTACCATTGGTCCGAAGTCCCATTGGTCCTAAGTCCCATTGGTCCAAAGTCCCATTGGTCCGAAACATAATACTGTGTAGTTCCACTTGTTCAGGTTGACTGACCCTTACCCTAACCCTAACCCTAACCCTAATCCTATGGGGCATCGGACCAATGGGACTTCGGACCAATGGGACTTCGGACTATAGAGACGTCCCCGGATGAATACGGTACTCCCACGGTTTATCACGAATATTAAACCATGGAAATCCGTAGCTCCAAATCGTGAATGTGTGACTTGGGCTTAATTACAGGGGGACCAGACGATTTAGAATGGAAATCGCTCTAATTTCAGATTGAAAATCTTTGAAAAAAATCAGTCATGTGGATCAATGGACCTTATTCACGAAGAAGCCATTTTCGATCGTATTCCCTGATTCTATTTTACGAATTGTAAACTGTTTAATGGGATGGTGCCAGACTATTTTTCGATTGGAGTGCGTTCCATTCCTCACCTCCATTTTTTTTGTAAACGTGGCGTAAAACATTAGGGTACATGTATTTTCAATCGCAACTTTTGAACTATTCATCAGAGCAGACTGGCACTAATCTGTAATGAACTTTTATTTCATTGCCTTCAAATATACACAAGTTCAAAAAATGAAGAATTTACCTCGCTTTCAATTTAATATGGCCGAATTGTGAATAAAGCTTATTTTGATTTAAATCGTCCTGTTCCTGCTTCATTCGAATATGTTGACTTTTGGAACTAAGAGAATTAACTAAATGAAATGTTTTGCGATATTTTTTTCTAAAGAAAATAAGAAATTTAAAGTTGTTTTGCATAATCGGATTTAGTGGGAAGTCCTATATTATAAGGTCCTTCAGGTATTAAAAGTTGAACTTCTACTTTGGGGGTTTTACTACAGGATTGTTAATTACCCTTGCTTATTTTTTTTTAAACTATACTTCAAATTATGCTTCAAATTTGTATTCATTTCATATAATGTAGCAGGTTTTGGAATACATTGGTCATAAATACAAATAAGTAAAGGAAGGAGGGAAATTAACAAGTTTTTTTTTAAAAGTTACAGAAATGTACTTTGCTCGTTATTCAGTGAACAACCTCGCTTACATGAAACGGGGAAACTACGCCAAAGGAATCCAGAGACAAATAAGAATAAAATATCGAAAACTAAACCTGTTCCAATTCCCACAGATAGCTATAAAGGAACATCACGACGTCAGTGGCTTACGTCCTGGCTAAATCATGGTACATGTTATTTATGTGTCAACATTAAGTGCCGATCAAGTACAACAAAATAATTTTGCATGTGAAAAATCATTACGATATTTTATATATAGGTCTATTTAAAAAAAATATATATTTAAAATATTAATGAAACGCAAATTGTTGCTTTTCAAATTCCAAGCTTCATCACTTGTCATTATCTTAATCGGACGTTACAGTCTTCCCTCAGCTTAACCCTTAAAGAGCCGGGGAGAATCCGCCCCTCACCCCTCGACTTTTTCCGCGATAGCCTTGACAATCATTTTTTTCGCGACCCGAGCTGTTATGACTTTTTAGCCTCGAGTCTTGCGCATCTTTTGTTACCAAAAATATCGAAATCGGCTCAAGGGTTGCCGCGCAGCGAAAAATTTTCCAGCGCTACGCGCCGTGAAAACTGAATTTTCCCATATACGTCGTATATTCTCGACAAGGACACTTTCTGTCATAACAACAGACGAATCACAACGAAGACCATGATTAAACACCGCGCAGCTAGTACATCAACGTACTAAGCCGCATTTGCTGTTCTTTCTTTGCGTTTACCCAATTTCACTTACTGCGCAGACAGCATGATTACAGTTTTTTTTAAGTTAAAATGTTTATACCTTATGATCCCACCAATATGTAGTATGTTATATTACTTATTAACATGAGACAAATGGAAAGGGGTGGATTAATACAGCTTTCATTTTTGCTAAGTTTTTTTTTTTTTTTTTGAATATTGATGTAAATTAATTTTGTAGTTTTAATGCGGTTTTTTTTTACAATTGTAGTTTTTACTGTAACTTGGTTATTGACCACGAATGTAAAAAAATTAAACTATCTTTATCTATATATCTAATAATTGCAATGAACGTTAAATAACAACACCAAGTATATCAATTGGTAATTGCGGTATCGAATCAAGGCGGATACAGGAAGCAATTAAGCTTCCAACCCATGGCTTACTATTGGAAACGAGGTTGAAAATACTGTAAGCCCTGGGGACGACGTTGTGATACATGTAACTTCACGTTGTGTCATCGACCATGGTACAAGTGCAATATACGTACGATACTTCTCTAGCTCTATAGGCCGGGTCAAGGCCGGATTAGGTAATGGTCAAAACTCTCCGCACACGTACTAGCGTGCCATCATACAACTGCTTTTTACGTCCTTGTACAGGTTATTCAGTGAAAGTATGCAGCTGAACTATTGCATGGAGAAACTGGAAGAAACGATCTTCATGTTGTCTTGAGCTTTGTTAAGGAGGTACTCAACCATCAAGAAGGCCTCCGGATCCTGTGCTACTCTAGGTTAAGACAAGGTAAGGTTTGTGATACTGTTAGTTTCGTATATGGATATTTTTCCACATGCAGAGCCTCCAGCATATCGTAGAAAAGATTATACTAGGCCTATAATGAAGATATCCATATGTGCTAAACGTGAAGTGAATGTCATTGTATAGGTCCCAATGCAAAACAGGATACTCGTCCGATAGGCCAGCAGTTAGCAGTCATATTAATTCAGTCAAAAATTCTTTGATAATACTCTAACTTTTTCGGTTAGGCGAAGAAAAAAAACATGTTTCTCGATCGTCCCCGCCCGCTTCCTTAATGGAGGCCGCCTGGATTTTTTTTAAAAATTATTTTGACTGTTTCTTGTTCATGATGTTGACGTCAGATGGTGCCGTACATGTAGTGGAATGTGCCATCTCTATGACGAGACATTTTATTTCTCGGGGCAGAATGGCATTCACGTGCCATGTTAATGGTCTCATACACGCCAATAACTGTGTTTAACACTTAAAGCTGACCTAGCTACCTTCAAGTCGGGAAGAAATCGTTCGAAAACGTCCCCAAAATCTCAAATCTATGTATGTATATCAATTTCTAGGAATTTTGAAAGTTGTTATTTCATGAGTAGTTGAACACTTACTAAGGCGAAGTAAAAAAAAACATGTTTTTCGTCCCCGCCTGCTTCCTGTTTGGAGGCCGCCTGGATTTTTTTTATTATTTTTTATTTTTGAAAAATGCAGTAAAAAACACCGGAAAAGTCCACAAATTCATCGGAAAATAAATTGTAGACCAATACAAGTCTAAATGACACTGTAAATATGTTCAGTTCTCTTGTCCAACTTATCTTTCATTATAAAAAAGTGTCTTTGTCAGAACAGTGGAAACACCAACGGTTGCAGGAAATTTTTAAATGACGGCCATCTTGAAACAAATAAAAAATAAATAGTCCAGCGTCCTCCTTTCTTTCAAAAGCCCGGACGAGAAACTTTTTTTTTTACTTGGCCATATCATCTAACGATATTCCGAATTTCAGCTTAATTTGTTGTTGCAAACGCTAGTGTTACACCTTGAACTATATCCAAGGACAGTGGTGACGACCAAACCATCGTGCGTGGTTTTCAGCAAAGATCCTATAGCGCCGTAGGCGCTATGGTTGACCGTTTTTCGGCCCGGCAACACAATGACGAAGCGCACATTAGCATATTCATTAGCGTCACTCGGCGTGACTTGGCGTTGGTCTCGGTATCGACCAATGGAAGCCGACAAAAAGGGTGATATTTATTGATTAATAACTCGCGAAGGAGGCTTTTCTGCAAATTTGTACTACAAACATAATGGACAGGAACGTTATTGATATTCGTGACGCTTGAAAAGATTGACAGATATTGCAAACACCAGTAGTTACAACTTTTAAAAATGCAGGTAGCCAGGCCATTTTTACAATTTCAACGAAAAGTAATGAACACATCACAACATTTTTTAGCACGTACTTGGATCATTATAAGGTAACTAAACCCTGAAACTTGCATGAAAATACGGTCTTCCAAACTGAAGAAATAAATTTTCAAAGATTTCGTCCGCCAACGTGAACATATCTGTGTGCATGTAGCTCCATTCAAAATATAGTGTTCCGCAAGCATTAGAAATCGCCCTGCGCAACCACACGGCTGCTATAATTTCTAAACATCAGTGTTAAATTGCCAACCATTGTCCATTAATACATCTAAACATGTTTACAAAGTGATAGCAAGGAACTTTTTTAGAAAAAGTTATTTGAAAAAAATAAGGAGGTGCAATGTATTCCAAATATCCACGTAAGCGTTTGTTGGCAATTTCTTGTGTAGCCCCATAAATAAGGCCAATTCACTGGACTACCTCCGTAAATAAAGGCCACACTTGGAACATGAACCCGAAAATATAGAACTTTGTCCAGTTGTTAGTTTCACATTTAGACTTTGTTTTGTACATGTAGTTTATTTACGCTTTAGAAGCACACTCACCCTTTTTAAAGCGATAGAAAATTATAGACCCTCCCCCTTTTTTCAGACGTCTATTTTTCGAGTAATTTCCAGGTTCGTTTGCACATGTAGCGTATCTAAATTCGAACACGAAATTACACGAAAAATAGACGTCTGAAAAAAGGGGGGACTACTTTTCCATCGCTTTAAAGCGGGTGAGTGCGCTTCTAAAGCATGAATAAACTACAAACAAAGTCTAAATTCAAAAATAAAAACTTAACAAAGTTCCACATTTTCGGGTATAGGCCTACATGTTCCAAGTGTGACTTTTATGGCGATTTATGGGCCTAGTTCTTGTGTATGACGGGTGTGATGGGTCTCATGTTAGCTACTGGGAGACTGCCCATTACAGTAATTGGTGGTGTATTTTGCCCTCTCTGTCAACAGAAAACAAGTCACGGTATATTCAACATGGAAGGCAAAATAAAAGGAAATGATTCAGTAGTTTGTGAAACAGAACCGCTATTGAACAGAGCCCCTAGGCTATCTGGCAGAGAGAGGGCAGCATCACGATGGGTGACAGTGGAGCCCCTACTTCTCTTGGCAGCATGCAGCTATATGTTGACCGCTGTCCTTCGCATCCAGTATGTACTAGTGAGGGTACAGGAGTCTTATAACTACACCGTTCACACGGATTCACCTTGCCCAGTTCGGAACCAGACTGGTAATATGAGTTATATTTCGGATGCTGACACCCAGGCCCGGATCCAGGCGGACTCCGCTCGCTGGATGCTGCTCTTTAGTCTCGCTGGAGCTCTTCCGGGCTTCGTCTCCGCGATCCTCATGGGAGCTCTGTCCGACAGGTTCGGCCGCAAGATATTTCTCAACCTGTCGACCATCGGCAGTGCAAGTTTTGCCGGTGTTTGCACGGCCGTGATGGCGTTCAATCTTCGCCTGGAAGTGTTCCTCGCCGCCGATCTTGCCATCGGCCTGACAGGCGGGCAAATGACGATTGTCTCCCTTTGCTACTCCTACATTGCAGACGTGACTACCAAGAAACAGCGCACCTTCAGGATAGTTGTGATCGAAACTGTCTACGTCCTTGTTGGACTGACTCAGATTGGGGCCGAGTATTGCTACGAAGCTCTTGGCTTTGCCGCCACCGCGGGAATTGCGACGGGTCTGGGAGTCTTGGCCTTCATTTACTCTGTAATTCCACATATCCTGATCGAGACAATCGAGAGGAAGGGTCAGCAGCCACTAGGCCAGACACTGAGGCAGACTGTACGAGGCGTGGGACGGTTGTTTTACAGCGAGGGAGGCACTGTACGCACCTGGTGCTTGCTACTCATTTTCGCCACCCTTTTCATGCTAACCCCGATGGAATCTTCGCTCCAGGTTAAAACATTGTACGTGCAAGCCGAGCCCTTCTGCTGGTCACCAGTTACAATCGGGTATAACGCCGCCCTGTTTAGTACTGTCTTACTTGTTGGTGAGTGTTGAGTTCAAATATTTTGATTGAATGGCTATCGGCAAACCATTCTGTAATGTATAGGCTAGATAACACCTCAGGCAGTCGTGGTTCTTTACCGATGTTTTGGGTGGTAATCAATAATAGTTGAGAAGCTGTGACGTGTTTATCAGAATGTAGTTGAATACATTTCGGTTGACAGTTTTTTTTCTATGTTTTGTGGGGGAGGGGTAGTTATTTTTATTGCCAAAACATTAAAAATTATTGCTTGCAAGACCTGCTGCTGTATTGGATTCTAATCGACCAGTCATCTCTAGTAAGATCTGTTTAATAGTGATGTGATGTATGCATAAATAATATGGTTCGGGTTCTATTGGAGCAAGCTTGTGATCACACGCCCAATGTCAAGCTGTGCAAGCATTACATTCACTGTGTGTGGACTTCCAAACAAAAGAGGTCCACATAAACCAGGTAGCAGCGACGGTGTGTGGACTTGCCCACGTCCACACAATATTTCCCCCTCTCTGGAAAACAGGTTTAGAGGCATTTTTGGGGTTAGGTTTCTCCGTGGCAAAATGAAGAGAAACACTAAAGGGAATCATAGAAAAAAAATTGGTTGAAGGAGTCTTCACGGTGTGAGTATAATGATTTTTTTACAGGTTTTTCTTAACTATAGGCCTACACGAAAACAAAAGAATGTCCACACTAGGTATGTAACGCAAACATGTATGCTCTTACATATTGGCGCTTATGGGGTACCGGGAACAAAGGGCAACAATAGGGACAACGGTACCCAGCAAGTCTGTCTTTAGCAATTGAAGTACCCCATAGCCGTAATGCTATGTGTTTTGAGATTACTAAGGGGACACGGGAGAACAGAAAGAGGGGATTAGGGTCGAGCAATAGCGGTACCCATAAACCCAACATGCTTAGTGCGCGTGAGTACACTGCTCTTATATTAAGGTATGGTTTTTTTTCTTTCGAAGAACTCAGAAAGGAGCAGAAGCGGAATAGAAATTTGAAAAACAACCCCAACCCTTCTTTTACATGCATAAAGTACTCATGCAAATAATATAAATGTTTTGTTGTCTCATTTAAATAGGTAACATCGGAGGCTTCAAATTGTTGTCAAAATGTTTCAGCAGTCAGTGGATCTTTCACATATCTTGTTTCAGTACAGTTGGGGTAAACGTAGTGTTCGGGCTGGTGAGAACAAACGAGCTATTGTTTTGGGGTGAGCACTACATCAATGTCTTTATTTTCTTTAACCTTGTCACCTTTCATCCATTTTGTGTAAAAACAACGTCGAATTGACATTATCATTAACCCAAACGGTTTAAAGTCGTCCCTTATTTTTGGAAGCATTTTCGTAACATCGGTGTTTGGGGGTTCACGTAGCAAAGTCATTCTGAAATGTGATTTTAAACTTTGCGTTGTATTTTGGATTAACTTGCGACAGTTAGGTGACTAACTCTAACGAAAAGTGCGGGTGTAGATGTAATTTAAGACTTTACGGGGTACAGCGTACAATGTGGGCTAAATTTTCAACTTCATACATACTGAAAATTTGTATCCTTGTGGAGTCATTATTTTGTTCCGAGTCATGGAAAATGAGATTCGTGTCGGACTGCAGTCCGAGTCCGAGAGTCATTAGTCATACTAATCTGCTCATATCTTACCTTGTCATTTTGGGAAGGGGTAAAACTTTAGATTTTCCATTTGAGTGGCTTTGTGTTTCAATCCTCAATCCATTTTAATCCAGAGCAGATTTCTTGATTCCCATATTGATTATTTGATTTCTTTTTAGCGACACTTTTATTAGTGTTATCGGGATTGTGTTTCCCTGTCCTAAGAGGATCGCTTTCCAAACTGGTTGGAGCTGACGAACAAGGTAAATCGTGAAAGTTTGGAAAAGACGGTAGGAAAAATGATGCATGGGAGTCCTTATAGTGATTATCAAGGGGCAAAAACGGTTGGGCATAACGGACTTTGTATCAGTCTTCGTTGATATAAGATTTGAGGCTTTGCATGTGGAGTATCGGTATCGTTTCGGTTTGCGGTAACACCATGTGGTAATAACTACTGCTTAGAAGATATTTAGTTCTGAAAAGAACTTGTCCTGCTTATTATCAACTTTCGCTAAGTAGTTTTTGTTCTGATGAGAACAGTCCTGCTTTAAGTTCTAAAAGAACTTGTCTTTGGTCACAATGTTTCGACTAGCCTGCTCTAGTCATCGTCAGGAGACTGATTCGTTGATTTACAAAAGTGTGGTGACGTGATGAGCTTCAGCCGGCATTTCCACCCTGTAAGAGTCCCGGGTTAGAATTGACCCTGAAGGCTGGGTCATATTTGACTTGATAGGGTCGAAATGACAGTTTTCTCGTGGAACAAAATGACACTTTTCTTGGTCAATTTCCTGAACACTTTGGCCCAGAAAAGTGTAATTTTGACCCTATAAAAGGCATTCAGGTCAATACTTGTCAAATAAAACCCGGATTCCTGGCCAAAGCTGACCCGAACGTTTTAGAGTGTACATTACATAGGGCCTATAGCTCCCATCCTGTTTCGGCATCTTTGGTAAAGTCTTGAGGGTGGTGTTCAAGGAATCGGTTCGCATGCAGGTTGTTGGCGGTATGATGGGATAGGGGCATAATGAAATATTAGGCACATGTTATCACATTTTGGTGGTTGTTCTTTTTTTGTTGGGGGTATTTCTTTAATTAATCAATTCATTATCAGTCCTCTCGAGTTCAGGTCCATTTGCGCTCAATAAAAATTATGACCTGACCGACTACCCCCATAAAATAATGCCTTCTGCTCCTTGTAGGTGTTGCTTTGTCCTTCCTCGGCTGTGTGGAGAACTTCGGCATGTATGTCTCACCCATAGCCGTCAACGCAGTTTATATGGCTACCGTAGCATCTTACGCCCCACTTGTGTTCTTTGTGATAGCTGGGATCACTTGTGTACCGCCTGTGTTATTCGGGTACGTAGCCTACGCATTCATGTTGCACTCAGTAAGGGATCAGTCGTGCATCACCTTAAGTCCTAAGATGTGCATCAAACTTGAAAGTTTTGGTTTCCAGAAATGTGATAATTCATAATTATTTGCTCTGATATTTTTGATGAGGCAATTGAAAGCCCGTGTTTATAATTTGATCTGACTATTAGTCTCTTCAATAATCTTACGTGGGTAAGTCACAGTTTAATATTTGTTTGAATATTGGTTTGTATTTGTTTGAACCACTCATCTTCTTTGTTTTATATCCATTCAAATAACAAGCAAACAAAATCACCTCCATTAAACCCAATGTGAGTTTCCCCATACAGGCGTTATGGAGTACCGAAGTGTGACGTCATTTAGAACCACAAAGTGTAGTGCAAACGAATGGAGTACGCGCACGTGTTGGTTCAACCATGGAGGAAGGAATTCCTCCATGGTTCAACGGCACGGGCTGAATCGCGCGCTAATGTCTTTCACACACATTTTGTGCGCGTGACGTAATCACTTCGGTACTCCATACCAACGCTTGAGAAATACTTTTGATTTCAATTTTCTGACGTTTATTGAAGACGTTCACTGTTTACTTTACTTTTCTCTTTCTCTGCAGGATTATGCACGTCGTCATTAAACGCTCGATTGACCCACAGATCTTGGCATCCCATACAGTGACTGACTGACCGTGAGCACACATCATTCAACCACGCTTGAAAGTGAAATGACGTTGTTTATAACTTAAGCCCCAGTCACACAGCTACGAATATCCACGGTTTACCACGAATCAATCGATCACGATGAACCGTCGAGATTCGCGGCCGAGCCTTTCGACGTTCTCAGAAATGCACTACGGTTTCAGGACGGATAGCCATACGACTGTCCTTAGGTTTCTATGACGGATAACCACGGAGGTACTAAGGATGGATGGTTACGTCTCGATAGTCCGAAGTCCCATTGGTCCGAAGTCCCATTGGTCCGAAGTCCCATTTGTCCGAAACATAATACTGTGTAAGTTCCACTTGTTCAGGTTGACTGACCCTAACCCTAACCCTAATCCTATGGGGCGTCGGACCAATGGGACTTCGGATCAATGGGACTTCGGACCAATGGGACTTCGGACCAATGGGACTTCGGACCAATGGGACGTCGGACCAATATGGGACGTCGGACCAATGGGACGCTTACACCAATGGAACGTTTAGAGCAATGGGCCGTCGGACCAATGGGCCGTCGGACCAATGGGACTTCGGACCAATGGGTTTTCGGACTATAGAGACGTCTCCGGATGAATACGGCACTCCCACTGTTTATCACGAAACCATGAAAATCCGTAGCTCCAAACCGCGAATGTGAGACTGGGGCTTAATTACAGGGGAACCAGACGATTTGGAGTGGAAATCACTCTAATTTCAGATTGAAAATCTTTGAAAAAAAATCAGTCATGTGGATCAATGGACCTTATTCACGAAGAAACCATTTTCGATCGTATTCCCTCAATCTATTTTACGAATTGTAAACTGTTGAATGGGATGGTACCAGACTATCTTTCGATTGGAGTGCGTTCCATTCCTCACCTAGATTTTTTTTGTAAACGTGGCTTAAAACATTAGGGTATTTTCAATCACAACTTTTAAACTATTCATCAGAGCAGACTGGCACTAATCTGTAATGAACTTTTATTTCATTGCCTTCATATATACACAAGTTCCAAAAATGTGGTATTTACCTCGCTTTCAATTTAATGTGGCCGAATCGTGAAGAAAGCCTATTTTGATTTAAATCGTCTTGTTCCTGGTTCACTCGAATATGTTGACTTTTGGAACTAAGAGCGTTAACAAAATGAAATGTTTTGCGGTATTTTTTTCTAAAGAAAATAAGAAATTTAATTGTTTTGCATAATTGGGTTTAGTGGGAAGTCCTATATTATAAGGTTCTTCTGGTATTAAAAGTTGAACTTCTACTTTGGGGGTTTTACTACAGGATTGTTAATTACCCTTAAACAAGGCCTTGTTTATTTTTTTTTAAAACTATACTTCAAATTATGCTTCAAATTTGTATTCATTTCATATAATGTAGCAGGTTTTGGAATACATTGGTCATAAATACAAATAAGTAAAGGAACGAGGGAAATTAACAAGTTTTTTAAAAGTTACAGAATTGTACTTTGCTTGTTATTCAGTGAACAACCTCCTTTACGTGAAACGGGGAAACTACGCCAAAGGAATCCAGAGACAAATAAGAATAAAATATCGAAAACTAAACCTGTTCCATTTCCCAGAGATGGCTATAAAGGAACATCACGACGTCAGTGGCTTACGTCCTAGCTAAATCATGGTACATGCTATTTATGTGTCAACATTTAGTGCTGATTAAGTACAACAAAATAATTTTGCATGTGAAAAATCATGACGATATTTTATATATATTTAAAACAAAAATATTTTAATAAAAACGCAAATTGAGACAATTGCTTTAAAACTCCAAGTTTCATCATATGTCATTATCTTTAACAGACGTTATAGTCTGACCTCAGCCGAACACAGAAATAACTTCAGAATTGTTTCGTCAGTATCCAAAAATCGATACGAAAATTCAGGGCCCCCCCCACCCCCCCCCCCCCCCCCCCCCGCTATGTTTGAATTGAAATGATTGAATTACGTACCTTTACCTAACGAAACACGCAGCTAACATAAAAACGAATCAAACTACCAAAACAGTATGGGAAATGGTATGGGAAAATTATTTAAGTGTTTTACATTTATTGCCTTTTCACACATGCGCACGGCAGTTGAAACACACAAAAATAATTCCTCAAGTTAAGACGTAACAGTCGACTAGTTATTGCTATATTCGACATTTTTCAAAGCAATGTATTTAACTTGAATTCAAACGATGTCGTTGAAAATACATTTTACTAAAACAACTTGAGATTTCAGGGAAAAACATAATTCATAGGAATTTTTATGTAACACAAGTTTCAGGAAACGGTATAAAAAAAGGGTCAATAATACCAAATGCATGTTAAAACCCAAATATCTTACAAATTCAAACTTCGTTTTTTATTAAGTATTGCATCTCGAAAAGGTAACAATAATGTAAAATACATTTTACTTGGCCTAACACAAAAAGATTCAGAAGAAGAAACCAGAATCCTTAGGAATTTGATGTAACACAAGCTTCAGGAAACGCTTTTAAAAAAGGGTTGGAAATACAAAATGCATCTTAAAACCCATATTTTTACAAAGTGAAACTTTGGTTTATAAAAATCTTACATCTCGAAAAGGTAACCACTGGTGTAACAAAATATATATATTCTTCTGAGCTAAATTATGAATACTAAAAAAATATGCAGGCACTTCAATATCCGGTGTTTGAATTTGATTGAAAAAAAATAAAATAAAAGTGAATATTTTTTTCTCAACAAAATCAAATGTATACAGGAATGTGTGAATATTCCTGTATAGATTATCTAAAAATAGCATAACAAGCAGTCTTATAGAAAAATAGAGTTAACTGTGCTTTGGAACTTGTAATTTATAAATTACAAGTTTTGATTTGAAATGGTGATTTAAGTACAGGGTTAAACGGTCTATATAGATGTTGAGTGTTTTCAATAATGGTAGCAAAAATACACGAATCCAAATATTTCCAAGAAAAATAGTTCGTTATTATAAAATAGAATACAAATAAAACACAAAAGTATAGGATCACAGTTTTCTAAAATTCTAAAGCGCACATGGAAATCTAAAAAAAAAATATAAAAAAATAGTAAAAAATAAAAATTTCGAAATGTTTCAACTTGAATAAAATTCAAAATTCTTTAACAGAAAACTAAAGGTTTACTTTTTCTAACGTTCTATTGCACACAAGGAAATATACAAGCAAACAGATATAAGAGATAGACACGAGTTTAAAAGCATTTATGTCTAAAAAAAACCCTGTTAAATTCACTTTAATACAACACAGCAGTCAGAATAAAAAACCTTTAAAGATATACACATAGTTTATTGATGAAAACTATGTGGGCTCTTTTCCCAAAAATACAGCAGCATTTTGTCACACACAAATTGTTAATAAAGAATCTGGTTAATTAATGTGCAAAAAAAATTGGTCTTATTGCCTTTTAGGTTTTCTTAAAATACAATCATTTCCATTCTCACTTGTCTGCTTCTGCATTCGGCCCTCGTCGAAATCTTTCAGGCACGTTTGGTGGGACTTATTAAAGGGACACTACGGCCTGGAATGCACCCAATTGGGCTATAAAACGTGTTTTAAACAAAATGATACTATCGATGGAAAGAGCATTTAAAAGTGGAATATAAACGTCCACACAACCATCCTTTAAAAACTGGGCGTTTTGTGTTATTCTTGCGAGAACCATGCGAGAACAAATTTTGGGGGTCACAATTTTGTTTCCCAGAAAAATCAAGCTGTTCAATGCTAGTTTTGATTCCAGCCACACAGCGGTCGTATTTCTGTGGATGTGCACGAAACAAAATTTTTGTATTTTGTTGCTGTGTGTAATTTATGTGGCACACACAACGTGTATCGTTCGTTGAATGAAAATGACACAAAATAGTTATGTGTATCCCATCCCATGTAAACAACCAGGTGTGTTTTTTTTTTGTTTCTTGGGAACGGTAAGACAGTAGGATAGTTTCCTTTTAACTAGACCTTCAAAATAGTATAAGTAATCAATCCAAAACATGAAGTTTTCGGGGATTTCAGGCCATAATACCCCTTTAACGGCAGTAGTGGTTGACTTTTGATTGATTGCAAAAACAATATATATTCCAACTGATCTTTGTTTTAGACATTACCCAACTTCAGATTGCTACACAAACTTTTGACATTTTCTTTACCCTTTTATGACCTTTATCATTCGAACCATTAGTATGAGGTGTTGATCCATTTGAAGCATTTCCATTGACCTCTGACCTCGGAGGAGGCAAGCTCATGCTTTGTCTAGTACCCTGCTCGTCCTTTTTACCCCGTTCGGCTTTCTCTAGCAAAAGGTCCAGCATTGCAATGGTACCCGACTGGTTGGTTGCAATGAAGCGGTAGTGGTCCTCGGCAAATTCGACAAATTTGAAGAATTTGACCTGTATTGAAAAGTTAAAAACCTACGCATTAAAAAAAAAAGGATTCACTGAGAAATCTTTGTCTAAAGTTGCGAGTCTTTTGACAAACTATTAAAAATCTCTCTCACAAATTTGGAACATACAATTAAACAATCTTGTCTGGAAAAAAAAATACTATTTGGAAATAAACTGTTCAGTTTAACAATGGAGCATAGTATAAACTCAACCAAAAAAGAACGTCCCCCTTAATACTTTTAAACTCAAAAACTACTGGGCACATCTTGCTCAAATTACGACTGATCAGTTCAGAAATTCCTTAGCAATCCAGCCATACTCTTTGTTTGGGCCAAAACAGTGATAACGTGTACAAAATTATGCAATTTATGAGAAATGGTACCGAAAAATAGTTCCACTTTGGTATACATGCAAGATGAGTGTGAACCACAACTTGCACGTATACAAAAGTGCAACTGTTTTCGGTATCATTTGTCATAAATTGCATAAATTCGTACACAATATCACTGTTTTGGGCCAAACGGAGAATATGGCTGGATTGCTAAGGAATTTCTGTACTGATTAGTCGTAATTTGAGAGAGAGGTGCTCAGTAGTTTTTGAGTTACACAAAAAAGCATTGGAAGGGGGGCACTTTCTTTTTTGGTTGAGTGTGTGTGAGCTGAGGCAAACCCAAACCCAACACGTTGTAGAGTGCTGTTCCAAGCAGAGGATATTGGACACTTTCGAACAGACACACGATTTTGCCTCCAGCGATTGCCCGTGAGCAGAACTCACCTGTGACTGGCAGTCGAAAGAAGCCAGCAGGTCGGCACTCTCCAGACTCCATGCCTTGATGGTGCAGTCTCGTGAGCTACTGAACACATACTTGTTGTTGACTGTCACGCTGACTGACATCACAGCATGGGTGTGCCCAACCAAGTATCTGTTGGCAATTTGGCGGGGGAAAAAAAGAAAAAAAGTGTTTATCTACCCCATTTCAATTTTTTTAAATTCCTGAAATCCGCAAGAAACATTTGCAAGGGGCTCACTATATTTTCAAATACAATGTCAAGATTGAGAAAATTTCATTAACAAGGAGATGCCATCTTTTATTTTGTGGAAGGGAGAGTGGAAAGAAGAGCTTAAGTCCCCAATACTGAGACAAATTTTACACAAGATTTGCCACTCTATAAAACCTTTTGAGTTGGAGATCATACTGGATTTTGAAACTGATGCTTTCCCAACAAAGTTAAAAAAAAAAAACCTTTTCAGGTGAACAGCAGCCCAAGCTGAGACCAATTTTACACGGAATTTGGCCTTCTTATATCGATACATGTGTATGTAGAGTTCAGGGCTTTCATAACGGGGAGTGCGGCCTACTGTTTCGGGTTTGTGACTCGTGATCAGGGGTTCAAATCCAGATGCTGGCCATATTGTATCCTTGAGCTGGCCACTTCACACCCACTTGCCTCTCTCCACCCAGGAGTACAAATGGGTACACCCACTTGCCTCTCTCCACCCAGGAGTACAAATGGGTACCGGCATTAGTTGGGCAATAACCTGCGATGGACTGGCATCCCATCCAGGGGGATAGAAATATCCCGGATTGTTTCATACCTAGGAAACCGGAGATGAGCGCCAACCTGATGAGCCATATTGGCTGGTGACAGACTTAATACTTAAAGCTTTCCTATTGCAGTCTTTAGGATGCTGCTTTTTTCACAATATGATTTTCTTTTTTCAGCTGAACCGTACCTCTTCTTATTCCCTTGGAAGTCCCAAATCAGCAACTGGTCCTGGCCAGTGTGAGCCCCAGAGACAAGGTAACGATTCTCCCGATCAAATGCCAAACAGACGATGGTGTCATTGTACAGACCGGTCAACTCGGCCATTAGACTACCCAGGGAAGTCCTGCCTAGCGACCAGACCTTGACGGTGCCCTTATTGGAGCCGGTGGCCAGAAACTTGGAGTTGGGGGAAACTTCCATGGACATGACCTGATATGAGACCACCAAAAAAGGAGTACAAGTATTTGCAGAATGACCTCAATATAGAGTTGTATGTGTTATTGTAACTTTTACAGCAATATTTTCAACAAAGAAAATGACTCAAACTGCAGTAAACCAACTGGATTGACCTGAAATATGCAAATTTAAAAAACTAGAGGGCCCAACGTTTCAGATGCTAGCAGGACCTTTTCAAAGAGTATTTGAGTGCTTCGAATGTAATCATAATCCACCATAATGGTTAAGAGTTTCACAAAAGAAACTGAACATTTTCTTGGAAATGAGTGCAAACTATCAAATAGGCCTATTTCTTGCCTAAAAAGTGTCATATTATTTGCTCCAAACAGCAAGATTTAGAAAACAACTTCAATCTGAAGTATGAAGATCCAGCAAAATTCTTATTTCTTGAACATGAATAAAAATTATAAAAATATGAATAACAAATACTTGCAGCATGATTAATGTGTATCATTACTACATGTGCATTCCTAGATATAAGCAAGCAAAAAGCACTCACTTATCTAGATTTTGTGGAACAAATGAAAAGAAAGATGACAACAATAATTATATGCAAAGACCAAGTAGAAAAAAAACAATGTCCCAATAGAATTTACGCGTTAAGGCAGAGTCAGAGGGCAAATGTTTCGCTTCTGTGGAATAGGCATGAGTATTCCTTTTGTGCATTCTTTTTAACTAAATTAATATAACAAAGAACACCTGCTGGTGTGACTCCAATGCACAAGGTCTATTTTGCAAACATAAAATACAAAATGTAGGCAATTGTTCATAACTCACCTGTTCATGCATCATAGTTGTCAGGCAGTTTCCCATGACATCATCCCACGCTTTGATCTCGCCGGCCATCTTGGAAGCCGACAAGTACATGGGATTCTCCTCACCAACCACTGATCTCAGAATGGTTGTAGCCTCGGCATGTCCGACCAACCTGAACTTTTCTTCCAGTTGGTTAGCTCCATCACACACCCTGATTGATTTGTCTGAGGGCTCTTTGGAGCACACCAGAACGGTCTGCCTTGCGGCCAGGGCAATCACCGCGATGCTCTTCTTGAACAGAGGCCAGCGCCAGACTTCAGACCCTGTTTCCAACTGAAAAGCTACCACCTCTCCAGTGTCTGTGCCACAGACTACCATCTCCTGTGGTTCCAGGATCTCCATGGCAACCGAGGCACAGCTTACTGATTTGAAGCATCTGGCATCATCCAAGTTCCAGAACTTGGTCTGTTTATCCTTGCTCCCCGACACACCTATTAGAGAGCTGGTACCCTTAAACAGAGCATTGCACAGTACCGATAGCTCATGCCTGTCTCTTTTTGTTACCTAAAAAAGAAAGTAGCATAAATACAAAACCCAGTATGTGAGCCAAAGACTAACAATGAAGATAATAATGGCATGCTCAGGAACAAAAACATCACTATGAAATAAGATGGAGATATTGTCTTTAATAAGAGAATAAATGCGTGCTTGGCCAGTTTTAAACACTCTGTTTAATACCGGTTGGAGTCTGGATGCTGATAGGGTCATTATCAGCATCCAACAGGTCTTAAACATAGTGTTTAATACCGGCCAAGCATATATTTATTCCCATTCATAAATACCTTTTTCGGTCCAAAAAAAAATCAACACTGTTTGGTCCAAAAGTCAAAACAAGTCAAAAATTATAAATTTCCAACAATTTTGTTCAACAAGTTTACTTCATGAAGATCGACGCGCGCGTCAGGTGTACTGCGTGATGTGGTGCGAAACGCAGCTGTTCTGGTGTAGTGTGAATTTATGAAATACAAATGTACAAGTACTGACTCCCTGGTACCGTAGTATTGGGCATGCCTACATGAACATTGTGAACGTTAAACCAATAAAACGGTAACTAAAAGGCACCAGAATTTAAAGGAGTCCAAATTTCAAGGGACACTGGAAAAGTATTTAAGACCAGCCAGCCGGTCTTTATCAACCGTTTAAAACCGGCCACGTGACAGGCTCTATACAAATAGGAGCGGGTAAACTGTCTTAGGTATTTATGAATGCCAAATAAATCCCTGGTCACTCGCTGTTGTTAAAGTAGGGTTATTTTCCTAATTTGTATTGAGGGTCAAATTGATGTTTAGTTCAATCTCAATTAATACATGAGAGCATAAATCTTTGATGTAAAAGATTTATACATGTAATTTTGATAGTTGCTAAGGTATACTTGCCTCTCCTTTGGTTGGTATCCACATCTTCACAGTCTTATCATTGCAAGCCGACAGCACTCGTGGCCCATCCTCCATGGTCAACACAGTAACATCAGAAATCCAGGAGGAGTGCCCCTTCAATGTGTTGAGGCATCTACCATCATCCAGGGACCAGACTTTCAACGTGTCGTCCTTTGACCCTGTCACTACAAAGGATGGCCTGTCACCGTCTCCTGCAACTCCTTGATGGGTCCAGACACACGTTATCAGCCCATCATGCCCCTTCAGGTCAAGAACCGTTGGATCTCTCTCTGGAACGAGGTGAATGATTCGACTAACGCTGCTGCTGTCTCGCAGCACAAAGGTAGTGTCTGAATGGGGGACAATACTCAGTAGAGGTTCCTTAACGGATACGGTGATCTCCGACTCCAAGGTAATGCTCTCTGCCGAAGAAGGGAGGGTCAGCGGCACAGACCAGATTTTTATCAGACCGTCTGAGCTGCCTGTTACCAGATGGCTAGCTCCTGGGGTAAGAGCAGCACATGCCACCATCTTGCCTTCATCGTACCCAGTCTGACACATAACGCACTCTTGTGATTTCAAAGACCACACTCTAAGTTTCCCATCTCTGCAAACAGAGAGAAGATCTTCTCCAGATGATAGCGTCGTGATGAAGATAGCCTCCGCTGGGTGCTGCATGGATGCTATTTTCTGACCATCAGCGAAGCTCCAGATGCACACCACATTTCCAGGCTCGGCACAAGCAAAAACTCTTGAATCCTTCTCATCAAACGTCAGATTGCTAAAGCTTGTGAGGCCGTCAGTGTCTAACTCCCGCAAACACTCTCCAGTGACCAGGTCAAACAACGCCAGGGAGTTCTTACCAAAGAGGGCATACCGACTACTTTGGCTGATGCACATGTTCACCTTGCTGTTTTTGACCAAGGGAGATTTGTCGTTCTTTTTCTGCAAGGTATGGACAACCTCCAAAGTGGACATGTTCCAGACATTGAACATCGGGTGGCCCTCTGAATCAAGACAAGCGGATAACATGAGTTCCCCTGACGGAGTGCACATTACTCTTAAGACCAAACTGGGATGGCCTCCAAAGACTGTGCGCAGTGGTCCACCAGGAGGTATCAAGCATGGAGCACTAGGTACAAATACTGGGAGCTTGGTGCTTCTTATCCAATCCTTCGCCTGTTGGATTAGCTTCTCCAGGTTAGGATACTTGCTTCCGTAATCACCAATCCGTCCGATCAACTGTCCAGCCAGGGAGAAAGGATCTACCTTGAGGTTGCTGCTTGCGAGATACATGGTCTCTATTAGAATGATGATTTCCTCAGTTAATGGGCGGAAATCCAACATCAACTCCAGGAAGCTGAAGGATACCAATTTGGTTAGGAGCCAGTTGAAGTTACAGAGGACATGAGAGACTAGCTCCTCCAACATTCCTGCTTCAGCAAGGTGATGTGGCAGCTCTATCAGCTTCCTTCTGTTATAGACACCATTGCTGAACTCCAACGGTTGAGGTGCCACCTGTCGATCGGCTTCAGGAAAGACCTTACTGCGCTTATGCAAGGTGATAGGTCGCACTTTCCCTACGCTATAAGAACCAAGGAACATTTCAGCTAGCAGTTGGTGACGGGCCGAGATAATTTCTTCTTTAATGAGGTAGCGGTCGTCTGCAGCTTCAATAAATTGGCGATGGTACCAAGCGACGACAGTCTTACCTGCCGATTATACAAATACACAGAGTTATACATACTATATCACTTAAAAATGGATGTGCTTACTCATGTGAATTAGACAAGGACGTGTTTGTCTAATATGAATGCCCACTCCATTCCGAGTAATATCAGTTCAAGGTGGTTTCAAGTTCCAAATTTCAAGAAAGCCTCCTCTATTATTTTTTAAGAAAGATCCAACAAAATTATACTCCACTTGAGTTGCTTAATGACAAAACTGCTAGGTACTTTTATTGGCAGCTACAAACTTATAATACAGCAAATTTGCATATCTACCTCCTGACTGTCGTTCAGACAAAAACTCAGTGACATCATAGTGGATTCTCTTCCAGAGAGAGGGAGGTGTTCGCACGATGTTCTCTGCTGGTGGATCCCAATATTGGTACACATCATTCAGCACCTCATCGTCACATGAAAGGACATCCTCAATCTCTGCCTCTGTGATGCCACTCTTGGCTGCCGAGATGTAACCCAGGGCATGGGAGATGACAATCTGGCCGTGCTTGTGCTCCAACTCCTCAAAGAGGTCTGTGATGGCTTCCCGTACGCTGGTGGGCAGCCTCCTCTCTGAGGACATCCCGGTGTAGGATTTCCAATGCAGGACGTTTTCAAACAGCAACTTCAGAAACAGGGGTTGCGGACACTTGGAGAAGGCCTCAGAAACTTTGATGAGCTGCTCTTCCGTCAACTTACGACGCTTCACCTCAAGCCAGCTGTTGAGTATCTCAAGACCCGTTTCCTGGGGAACCGGCTGCATCTCAAGATAGCAACTGTCATCCGCGAGCAGGAGTCGCATCTTCTCCTGGCATCTGTGCTCGTCAAGTGACAGCATGGATGCCACGATCAAAACGTGCGATGGTACAGACATGGGCAGCCAGTTCACGGCATGGGCATCGTTGGCAGCGGACAGTTGATCAATGCTGTCAAAAATCAGCAACAAAGGCTTCTCTTGAGTAGCCACCGTAGCTACGAGCTTTCTGAAGAGTTTTGTCAGATCGGTGTAATCACCAAGTGTGGTGGAACATGGCTGCTTCAGGTTGTATGCATAGCAAATCTGTGGCCATGGCATAAAAAAATTACATTTTTAAAATGTGCAAAAGGACAAGTTATACTTCTTCCAATACAATTTTGAAATTCCCTGCAGATTATATCTCCATTTCTCTTTACTCAAAAACAAAATTTGAAGATATTTCAGCTACTTAGCTGGGATCACAACAACACATCCTGCGGTGAAACCAGAGTGCCATTTGCAAGGGTACTGCAGGAATGCAACAAATGACACGTATCTCATGCAGTTCAAATTTTGATTTAGAATTTTTTAAAGATATGTGCCCCCTCCGAGACCCCATCTGAATGTGCCAGTGCATCCATCAGCTGGATCAACATAATTTATGTACAAAGGATGTTCCAATTTAGGAATTTCTCTTTTCAGCGTGTTAGCTGACATGATCTGTATGCGAGCTTTATATGGTTTTCAAAACTTCATAAAAAATATGGATACATACCTGTCTACACACTGACTGTAGCACGGCATGGATTCCTGAACTCTGGCCTGACGTGCCCAGAAATCGCAACACCACGACCACCTCCTGCTTCAGCCAATCACAGGCGTTCTTGGCCAGCATGGCCATGACCGATGTCTTGCCTGATCCCGAGACTCCGTGTACAACCAGCGGTCTGCCTGGCTTCAGGGACAGGAAATCTCGGATGTTGGTCATGAGCTCCTGCCGTCCATGAAACACACTACGTCGAGAAATTCAAGTAAATGTTGTCAATGTTTCTCCAATCTATGGGATATCTACATTGCATGTAAAAAATCTATTACACGGTTCCCACTACTTAAAAACACAAAATTCCCTGATATTTCCCTAAAAAAAATCCAAAATTCCATGAGAAATATTTTCACTTAAATGAGGTTGCTGGGATCGCAAAGTCAAGAGGTGGTTGCAGCAATGCAACTAAGATACTGATCACACACAGACCCCAAAAAACACCTTAACCAGTCAGTCAATGCACAAAACCTGTACACAGGGCAGGAGATGCACACACTCCAAACTTGTGAAAATCTTTCCCTTCTGGGATTCCCTGAGTTTTCTCAGATTTTTGGTGTTTTTCCCTAATTCCCTGAGTTGTCCCCGACTGGAAAAATGGAAACTAATTTTCAAGGGTTTCTGTGATTTCCAGAGTGGCTGAAAACCTGTATTAAGAAGACCACTAACATAGGGCTGGATGTAGCTTAGTAGGTAGAGCCCAGGTAGGATACTCATGAAGGCACAAGTTCAGATAACCAGCCATTTTTGCTTTATCCTAATATTAGTTTCAAAATCTGTTTAACACGTTAACATAATTCTTATGGATTAACCCTTTAGTAACTCTAGCACCTGAAATTGCCCTGCCTTTTACTCCCTGCAGCGCCTGAAACCATCTGAGCACTCTATGGTTTTATGAATTTAACAGTGAATAAACACAATGTAATACAATGTAGTACACTTGCTAATGGATTACTAACTCATCACATGCCTCACCTGCATTTTCTGTCACAAAACTCAGCATGGTGCAAAAGCTCTTCGTACACATCAGCCACAGCTTGATCTGTGACCTTTGACCTCTGTTCCAGACTCCTGTCAATCATCCCTCTAATGCCATCCCTGAATCTGTTGCAGATGTCGTCTAGGTACTGGGCATGCACAGGGTGGGAGGGGTCGATGCCTGATGGGGTCCAGGGAAGGCTGAATCTGTGGATGGCTTCCTCTCCTAGGATGGATGGCAGGTAGTTGGTCTTGAGATTCTTCAGGGAGGTCTGGGCATTGCTGTCAACTGACCTGTTGGGAACATGAGGAGTTGAGGTTAGATTCTGGATCCAAAAGACAGAAGTGTGAGCAGTCAATACAAATGTACAGGGCACCCAGCATTTTTACTTCCCTGAGCCTACCCTGATATTTCCCTGAGAAATTTCGAAAATTCCACGAGAAAGTAGTTTCACTTTAACCCTCTTATGCAAACATACATTCTGTGCCAAGTTGTCCTTGCAGTCAAAATCAATCGAGTGACTGTTTTCAACACTTAAGAATTCCCAGCCTACATAAAGCAGGAATGACTGGCTGTGACTGTTTATGTTACTCAAAACAGCTCTGCTTTGACTGTGGGTAATGATAAGCCAGCTGTGCCCACAACTTGCCTACTTTGTCTGTTCATGGTCTGCTGACTGAGTTCGACTAGTCACAGTGCTTGCTTTATGATCTGACTGCTGGTGACTAGCCTGTGTTAAAAGGGGAATCTGATGAAAATTTTGACTGTCTGTGACTGTTTAAATAGCAGGAGGGTTGACAAGGTTGCTGGTAAGTCAAGAGGTAGTTGCAACCCAGTCAATTGTTACTGTCTGGAGAGGCTTGTAATATTCACACTGCATAAACACTAAAAAGCCATCATAGCCAGTAGGTCAATGAACACAACATGGACACATGGTACAAGAGGAACATAAGACAAACTGGTGAAATCCTTTCCCTTCTTGGTCACAGTCAAATACCTCAGTTTTCCCCAGATCTTTTGGTGTTTTCCCAAAGTCCCTGAGTTTTCCCTGACAAGAAAAATGGAAACTTGTTTTCCAGGTTTTCCCTGATTTTGAGAGTGGCTGGGAACCCCGTCGATAAATCAGGTAATAGGAAAAACATCGAAAAGGGAATTCCTCGGACAGTTCATTTGAATAGCTTGTCCCTTGACTAGTATCTCGATGAGTTGCAATTGACTTGTGTTTATGATGACTTGTGACGGCTTGTGACAACTCTGTAAATTGAATATGTCTCTTTCCCAGGCTTGAAAAAGGTATACATGGGTTCCAAATTTCTGCTTATTTTGGCTTTCTGCTTTTGATAAATTTCAAACTCCCAAGAGAAGTAATTGGCAAATAATTTGCACCTTAAACATCCAGAGTACTATTTCAGCAACAACTTTGACAACTTTTTTAACTCTTGTCCCTTTTCATTTGTTTCTGATTTTCTGATACCAACCCATCCTCGTCAATGTCCAGATAACGTCTTGTGGCCTCATCTTCCATCTTGACTCCCAAACCCTCAAGATCACGCAGGAAGAAGAGACAGCTTGCAGATGGGTCTACCACCCCCTTTAAACCCTCCCTTACTTCAATTTCAGTCACTGTAAATAGAATAAATTGGGAATGGTAAGGATACGACAATGTCCAACTATTTTTTTACAAACAAGGAAAAGATACAACATGTGATGAAAGTTACTGCACAGAGGAGAATGGTGTGACCAACACAATACGCACATATGCTTATTCTACAAATGGAGTAAAAAAAATACTGCAATAAGGATTGAAGATTTTGTTGCAGCTATGCAACAGGGACATACTGGACAAACAAGACACTGCTATAAATAAAAATAACAGCGTTGCTGTTGAAACCCCTCAGCCAGAGTCAAGTTATCATCCGGAAACCATTAACCTTTAACTCAACGTGGTGACCTTGACCTTTGGCCTTTGACCCCAGAACCAGTCCCAACATGCCTGTACCAATGGGAAACCCCCTACCGAAGTTAGACACCAACATTTCATTTCTAACTCAAGGTATCATTCGGAACCATTTACATTGAACTCACCACGGTGACCTTGACCTTTGACCTTTTGACCCCAAAACCAATCCCAACTTGCCTGTACCCAAGGGCAAACCCCTACCTCAGTCAGACACCAAAATCTCATTTCTAACTCAAGTTATCATCCGGAAACCATTTACCTTTAACTCACCATGCTGACCTTGACCTTTGACCTTTTGACCCCAAAACCAATCCCAACTTGCCTTCTCCCAAGGGGAACCCTCTTCCAAAGTTAGACACCAAAATCGCATTTCTAACTCAAGTTATCATCCGGAAACCATTTACCTTTAACTCACAATGGTGACCTTGACCTTTGACCTTTTGACCCCCAAAACCAATCCCAACTTGCCTACTCCCAAGGGCAACCCTCTACCAAAGTTAGACACCAAAATCGCATTTCTAACTCAAGTTATCATCCGGAAACCATTTACATTTAACTCACCACGGTGACCTTGACCTTTGACTTTTGACCCCAAAACCAATCCCAACTTGCCTACTCCCAAGGGCAACCCCCTATCAAAGTTAGACACCAAAATCTCATTTCTAACTCAAGTTATCATCCGGAAACCATTTACCTTTATCTCACCATGCTGACCTTGACCTTTGACCTTTTGACCCCAAAACCAATCCCAACTTGCCTTCTCCCAAGGGGAACCCTCTTCCAAAGTTAGACACCAAAATCGCATTTCTAACTCAAGTTATCATCCGGAAACCATTTACCTTTAACTCACAATGGTGACCTTGAACTTTGACCTTTTGACCCCAAAACCAATCCCAACTTGCCTACTCCCAAGGGCAACCCTCTACCAAAGTTAGACACCAAAATCTCATTTCTAACTCAAGTTATCATCCTGAAACCATTTACATTTAACTCACCACGGTGACCTTGACCTTTGACCTTTTGACCCCAAAACCAATCCCAACTTGCCTTCTCCCAAGGGCAACCCCCTATCAAAGTTAGACACCAAAATCTCATTTCTAACTCAAGTTATCATCCGGAAACCATTTACCTTTATCTCACCATGCTGACCTTGACCTTTGACCTTTTGACCCCAAAACCAATCCCAACTTGCCTACTCCCAAGGGCAACCCTCTACCAAAGTTAGACACCAAAATCTCATTTCTAACTGAAGTTATCATCCGGAAACCATTTACATTTAACTCACCACGGTGACCTTGACCTTTGACCTTTTGACCTCAAAACCACTCCCAACTTGCCTACTCCCAAGGGCAACCCCCTACCGAAGTTACAACCCCAAACAACATTTCTAACTCAAGTTATCATCCGGAAACTAAGCTGCCCGGACGGACGGACGGACGGACAGACAGACATACATCCGGACGGACGGACGCCCTAGGCGATGACAATACCCCTCGAGCCTCTCGGCTGAGGGGTAAAAAGCACTATTTCCAAAGTTCATTACAAGAGTTTCTCAAATAGTGTTTAAGAAGCGTTTTTAAACATTTTTTTGCATGATTCATGCTGTCCACATCACCATCAAACATCCAATTTAAAATTTCTTCTGACTATCCAAAAAAACAAGTCTTGGACAAACCTTGACTTCCTTACCTGATTCAAAATAAACCGCAGATTCTTCCTCTGTGATGAGCCCTTCTTTGACAGCGGCTCTTGCCCCTCTCTGCAAAAGCCTCTGCAGCCTCCCGAAGGTCTTCCACCAATCGTCTCGTTCCTTCTGTTGCAACTCGGGCTGTTCAGCATTGTAGAAGTTAGGAAGGCGCGACGTGATTGGCTGCAGCACGTGCACTGGGGGCGTGGCATTGGTGTCCTGGACGTACCAATTGGCTAACAATTGGGACTCGTCAGGTTCCACGCCCAGTGATTGGACAGAGCAAGTCAACTTTTCAAAGTGGGCGGACTCAACCACTGGGGGCAAAGGTCGATAGCCATATTTATTTCCCAGAAAACCCTAGAGAGGAAATAAGTACAAAACTATGTTAAGTCCAAAACTAGAAAAAAACATTATTTGTACTTCTAGGAGCTTTGACATTGTGCCAAAGTACTCTTTCAACAATTTAACAGAGAGAGAGAGAGAGCTATAAACGACACGTGAATGTCATTGCCCCTCTCCTAGCAACCACCAAAGAGGGTGCGGGTGTGTGCCCAATGCACATGTTCACAAAGCGTGACATACATTGGGTTTACTTTGTGCCATCGTGACCATACGCTGTATCCCACACACTGAAGAGCTTTAACAAGAGGGTCCTACAGTGCCAAGTACTGTTCCTGCCTGCATGGACTCGTCTGTTCCCCTTCCCCATTTTTGGAACATGCCCCCCCCCCCCCCGAAAAAATACATCCCTAAATGTTTACCTCTTTTTGGTTTCCTAAAGTTGGTTCCTTAGTTCTTTGTGTATGGAAATCAGTGTCTTCATTTAACAGAATCAAATCATTTTTACAAAATTGATAATAGACATTAATTGGAGCGCTGCTCTAACAACGGAGCTACCCAGCCCTATGCTGGCAGTTTCCTAGAATATCTTTGTCTTTGTTCACAAGCACTATAGTTAGAAGCCATAAACCTGTATGCCATGTAGCCATGGATCACAGCCGAAGTCAAAATGCTAGCAATGTTTGCTGCAAACCTGGGAAATGGCCAACGAGTAGGACCTATAACTCAAAACAGTACGCAATGACTGTCAAGCCAAAACTTAATAATTGATGACTGCTGTGATGTGCGATATCATATTTAACACCCGAGGGGCACATAAATTGTCACCGGTTTCACGAAGGGACAGGCCCGGCATGTGGATTTTGAAGAAAAACTGTTTTCGAGATAATCGCAAGAGAAGTTTCTCCATTTTTAAAACTGCAAAAACTACTACTTTGCAACAACTTTATGCAATAAGAAAACCATGACATAATTCTTTGATAGGTAAACTTTAATTTGAACCTATTAATTATAATTGATAAAGTGGTTAATAAGCCAAAATCAATTAGTAATAGTAACTATGCCTGTCCCTTCGTGAAATCGAAAATCTCTCTGTTTCACATTTACGCCCTTCTTGTTTAATGTGCTTTTCCATAGGGAAGGGCGCGCGTGTTCGATTACGTGCCCGCAGCTGAGAATGTAACAAAGATGCCCGTCGCTTCGTGAAATCAAACATCTCCTGTTGACCTACTTTTACTCCTCTCCGTGCAATACGTTTTGGACGTGTTCAAGGGGCAGGCATGTTCGCGTCTCTTCGTGAAATCGCAAAATGCAATTATAGAGATGCCTGCCCCTGGCGTCATTAATGTTATTCAGGAATTAATGATGTTTTGCTTACGGAAATATGTCAGAATGCTTGAGTACCATGTTTTAAAGCAAAATAGTGAAAAAACTCGAAATCGAAAAAATTGTCAATTTTGACATGCCCGTCCCTTCGTGAAACCGGTGACGAAATATGTGCCCTGAGGCACATCCCACACCACAGCAGTTAACAATTGTTTAGTTATATCTTGCCAATAAAGTCAAACAGATACAGGCTCATAAGTCACTGTGCAAGAACTAAATTAAATCACTGCAGTGTATAACCTTTTGAAAACTGCGAGCTTTCCTTCCCGACATGATGCAGAGCGCTTGTAGTTCTGTCGTAAGGCGCTCGGGCCGGTCCTTCACGCACGTGCAACGCAGAGGTTATTTATATGCAACACATGAGTAAACCACATGCAACGGTGTGGAGGCTTCACCCTTAACTATTTTTTTCTTCACAAGCCAGCCAGACTAGTGAACCAGACTCTTAACTAGCCCGAAGTTGTTTTTTTTTCAATAGTCCGCAATAGAATTGTTTGTTTTTCTTTGCTATTTTTTTTTTTTTTTTTCTCTATTAATTTGTACGCCAGCGATTACGGTGCAATAATCGGCAGCGCAACGGCATGAAAAAAGCCGACTGCCAGATTATTTTCAAATTATAAAAAAGAGGTGGAAATCCACGGCTATGCGGAGAAGTTTCATACCTTATCTCAATAATTTTGACATGCCAGGCGGGCTACTAGAGAATGGTTTTGACTAGCTCGCCGCTGTTTTGACTCGCATTTGGCTAGCGGGCTACCGCTTAGGTCGAACCCTGGTGTATATGAGGTAATTTATATGCAACGCAGTATATATCAACCATTATTTTTATAGACTGGGCACGTGGCCGTTCTTGACCAATGAAAATTTCAGTATCCAAGACCCGATATAACAAATCAATTTGCCATCTCTTGAGAATGCCATTCGGGCTAATCAGCTCACTATACACAAAGAAAAACCATACAATTTTAGGTCCAAAACCGTTGGACTCATTACAGAGGCATGCAACTGGGAAATTTGAAAAAAAAACAAGGAAATTCCAAACCACAACAGACTTTGTACAGTGTTTTTCAATTTGTAATGGTATTTATGAGAAGTAAAAATGAGGAAATCAGCGGATCCGAGGAAAAGTTGCACGCCTGATTTACAACACAGGGTCCGTTCCACCTACCACAAAGTGTGGTCCCATGGACAGCCGTTTACAGGTCTCAATCTCTTTGATGCAGAGGGCAGAGGTTAGATGATCAGCCGTGGCATTGTCCCGCACTCCCCATCTCATGTCAACCACCTCGAAATCCAGTCCTTTCCCCTGACAGTATTTCTGCAACTCCGGGAAGACATCCTTAAGAAGCCGGTTCCTCTCGTGGATTGTGTCTGCGTGGTAAAAACAAACATGAAGAAAGACTTGTAATGTAAATAAACTATTATGGTTTTTGTCTCTGTGTTACACTGGAATGAACTTATGACAATTGTTATAACGTGACTTGAATTTAGTCACATCTTTTATCTTTTTGACTTAAAGGTAATGTACAACATTTGCTTTTGCTGTAATTTTCAGAAAATATGAATTTTGGGGTTCTAAGTATTTTATAGCAAATATTCATTGCTACACTGACCTGTTTAAAGTTTTGTGTTCAAATGCTCATACATGTACATGTAGATGCTGGAATAAAATGCTGTACTTGTAGTCTGCTTCCCTGAACCCACTTCGGATGAACTGGAGCATTTATAGACATCACGGAATTGTCAGGTCAGGGAACCAGACCAGCTGGCTTGCAACAGTTCACTATAGGCCTACGTATTTATTGCAAACAAAATGTGGACTAAATAAATTTGGTAAACTGGGGTATTTAAAAAAAGTCAGGTTTTTTTCCCAACAATGGTCAGCCGACCATCGCTGGAAACTGATTTGAAAATTCCAATTTCTTGAAAATGACAGCACACCAGGTGCCATGATTTCGCAGGATGCTTGAGACTATTATTCACTTACAGTAAAGTTAGGTATTTCATAAAATTGTTGTAGTTTTGTTGTTTGATGTTTGCAAATATTGTATATTACCGGTACCTTTAATGATGGGAAATACACGTGTCACCTACTGTGATGTGGGACATGACTTTTTACATCCTCAAGGGCACAATGTACCCTCAGCTTCGTGCATTCCTCGGTTGTTATAATTTTGCCCACATCAACACATCAATGATTATCAAATAAAAAAAAATTTAAAAAACACGTAGCAATGTTGAAGTATTCATTAAAGTACTGACATTGTGTCCCCAAACAATGGAACCGCCTATTTATTCCTACACTAATTCATTTTTTTTTTCATTTCTTGTCCATTAGCACTTAAGTTTTTCCAAAATTATAATGATATGATATGTGAAGAATTAGTATATCGACACTCAGTGGCAAAATCCTATCCCTCATTGCAGATTCTGCAGTAACAGGTAACTAATAATCTTGCTTGATCTGTGTGCAATGTCCTTGCACCGTATCCTATACACAGAAAATATCAACAAATCAATCGCTGCCATGGAAACCCAGCCACAGCCAAGCTAGCATGACAAGGTGAGTCTGGGAGCAATTATGACCGTCACAGTTGCAAAACAAATTCTGACTATTCACTGTGCAGTATGGAGAATATTTAGTACTTCAAGTCTTCAAGCATTGCATCTCAGTAACATGCAAATAACTACAAACCTGTGAATGTGGAGCTCAGGAACACACGGACTACGTTCGAGTCCTGCGATGGGAGTTTTGTCGTCTTCCCTTGGACGAGCCACTCAAATCCTTCTGGATAGTTGGAGTCTGCCATGGCTGGTCAAATCCAATCCCAGTTGAATGTCGTTAGCATCTCATTCTGTCCAAAAGAAATTTAAGAAAATATAATTATGAACAAAGAAAGGACCAATCAAGCTATGTTCCTGAAATTGAATAAGTACCTGTAGTTTACCAAGTACATTCTACATAAAACATCGATCTCAGCTCCGTGGGGTAGCCTATATTGTTGGTGTACCGTAACGTGGCGCGGCCCCTAACGTGGCGCACTTTGGTTTTTCGCCTCTAGTGCCTTGTTAGAGCAAAATTGTTACCTCAAATTTCACAAAAAGTAAAATTTCATCAAGCTCTAAACATTCTCGTTCATAAATGAAGGGAAAATTCACACTGTATTGTAGCTTTCAACTTGAAGTTAGGATTTTGAAGACTTATTAATCAGACTGGAAAAGCAACAGATTTGCATCTCAAAAACAGATGACGGGCAAAATTATTCTTGTTACAATCAAAACATGTACATTCCATCCACCAACTTGCCCATAAAAATACATATGAAATAACTGTTTTGCAACAGCAGGATGTAAGAATGAGTCTCCAATTATGACAAGCTAGACAGCTACAGGTCTTGCATGGCACTGTATGTGAGAAACAAAGCTGAGCCATTGCCAAATGTGTTTCCATGTGAAATCAAAACGGGAAATTGGTGGTGACTAAGAACTGCGAATCAGTTGCGATGCCACGTCACACGGTTCCTCGCTCACCCAATGGAGTTTAAAGTACAGCCGATCAGCATGGCTGGGCTATGCATGAAGCACTGGATGTTGACAGAGATAGAATTTGGATTTGTTTTTTTTCATCTTTTACTTTACAGGGGATGGCAGATTTTTTGAGGAAAGACAAATAGTTGCATCATGAGTTCTTATTAAACCTGTCATGCCTGATGAGTATTAAAAACACTTGGCTATAGTAGTTGCAGAATCCGTAACATGTTTTTCAAGTTACAGTTGGAACACTGCAAAATACACTGTGAATCCATATGAGTTTTAAGTTCTTTGATTGATTAAGACGTTTTGGTAGTCTGATTTCCTGACATTAATACACACTTGTTTATCGTTTAACACTGACCCAACCTCGTTTCCGTGGGTACGATCTTGCTACGCCATGTTAATTCTCATCATGCATCACACGATCTTAACCCCTGGAATTGTGTAATTTACATGTCCCAATATTTGGGGCATTGAAATTAGAACTGCAGTTGATGTGTTTAATGCGTGCAACGCAATACTTAAAATATTGAAATTTTTATTTTGTAGAATTAATCCTTTCAATCATGAAATTTCGACGTCGTGTTATTTAGCATAATTTAATGTACGTACCTCGGCTGTCCCTTTACAACACCAGATACAGCTTTGTTTGGACGAAAAACGAGGCTTCCAGGATCTGTATCGTACAGGCATCGCACAGTCTTGAAAAAAATGTTGGCACGTGACGTGCCGTTCAGGAACGCGAGAGTGCATTACATGCAGGGCGTGTAGTTTTTGAAATACATGCGCAGTACGCACTAAATAGCCGGTGTCGTTTACATATTCTTCACGGCCAGGGGTTAGTGAAGGAACGTACACGTGCCCAGGGAGTCGAGGCTGACACCAACCCTATGATAAAAATGTGTGTATTATCATCAGTTGGGGGGGGGGGGCAACATTTGTGGGCCTTCCCCCCTTCCCCAAGAAAATCAAACAAAAGCGAAAACAAGGAAAAACAAGTCACTCACTTGCCTGCCCCCCCCCCCCCCAAATTAATGTTCGAGTCTGGCACCACCACTGATTACCGTCAGGAAAGCCTGACTACTGCTAATGACCCAGGCTCGATCTCAGTGATTTTTTTTTAATTTAAATGCTCTTACTTTTATCTCATTAAATAAAATCCTACTTTTTAGTAAAGTTGTTGCTGTATCTTCTTCATGATTCGTGGCTCATGAGGGTTTTTAAAGGGAAGTACATGTGAAGTCCCAAACCATTGGGTTGACATCTAACCAAGGGTGGATCCAGAACACAATTTTTTTGGGGGGGGGGGCAAATATATTTTTGGTCACCCAAAAGTGGGTCCAAAGAATTCCGGCGTGGGATTTGGGGCCCGCTTAAGGGCCCCAAGTTTTGGGGGGGATTTTAGATGCTCTGTGGTGCGATCTGAGGCAATTTCTGACCACTTTAACCATTTTTTTTTAGGAACAGATGGTGGTGTACGTAGTGCCTGCCTTATTGCGACATCACTTAAAAAAAAAAAAAAAATTGGGTTTGTTTCTTTTTGGCGGAGGGGGGGGGGGCATGTTGCCCCCTTCCCCCCCCCCCCCCCCCGGATCCTCCATTGCATGTAACGCACGTGTGCATAATGTTCGACCTTTAGCTACAGTGATTAGAAAGAAACAAATCACTAACTTAAAAAAAAAGTTATGGCATCCGGATTAATCAACAGGTCTCTTCTGCATAGTTTGAGTAAAACTACGACTCTACAAATCGCCTTTTCTAACATTTGGTCTACTAGTATTAGTAAAAAGTACTAGGCCTATTGCTAAATCACGACTACTTGTAAGTTGTAGAGTCCTACATGTAGCTACTTGAACTATCCTGCAAAATGAGCATTTTGTATATTTGACTGGCACTGAAAATGTGCAGGGAGTGTCTTTTGGGACTTACAATTTTAATTTGATGAATTTTCGTCTGGTTCCATGATTACATTTTCGTTGTGACTTTGTATGAGTTCACGAGATGGGAATCAGACCTACGCTAATGTAATTTTGGACTTTATTTAAAAATACACCAGAGCCAAAAATCAGAAAACGAAGATGACATTCTGCATATTAAATGTAGGATTTGATTTAAAACGTAAAAGAAGTCTTAGTCTTAAAAACTCTTATTGTTTTGGGGATATTGAAAAAAGAAAATCAAAATGAGTGTCACCGCGCATCAACGTAATCTCTGGCGCACTATTCACTGCACTAGGCCACGCATTCGCTTGTTTTGTTATGTTGGGATGGGAATTTGATATGTTATATGGTGTACTGTAGGCCTACTTGTATTTTGTGAGTTGTATGTGCAAATGTCATGAGGGTGCTGTGCGATTTTGCCAGCTTAAGAAAGAAAATATGCAGGACTTTGTTTTGTCATTTAAATGTACTATTGGACAACAAGGTACATTAATACAATAATCACTATAAAACATGTACAATCATCATAATCATAAGCATGATGAACAGGTTGCACTACACAAGCTAATGTGATGTAACAGGAAACCATGGAATTCCTGAATGAATGATGAAGCAACCCATCAATCATGTCAATGGTCATGCACGCGGGGCAGTAGGCCCCTACCTATATTAAGAGTTCAATTCACTCCAAATTACTGCAGATCTCACAAATAAGCAAAAGTATCAATACCTGATTATGGAATTTCAAATCATCGTGATCGCCAGAGCATGGAGCTAGAGACTGACGAAACCACATTCACTGTCTTCATCGGCGTGCGCGTGTTTACCACTAGCAGCCATGGCATCGAATGGAAGCTACTCAATATTTACGTTATTACGCCCTCTATTGTCAGACCAGCTGAGCTTATAGCCCAGGTTATGAGCCATAGATCGTGATTCATTTTACTCAAGAAAAATCGACCCCGTGAGTTGTCACCACCACCACGTGTGACGTGAGAGGGTGGAGGGGGGGGGGTCTGGATGACGACACGTGAAAAATGATAACCAATCGGGGTCGGCCTCTCTTTTGACGTCACGACCATCACAGACCGACAGGTTTAATTTAAGAAATCACACACCTGAAGAAAAGTGCAGCAGATCCGATGGCCGATACCCATTTGGCGCATGCCAAAGTGAGGGTAGGAGATTCATCTAGCCCCATATGTCACCACCATCATATTGTTAGGGCGTGCGTGCGTGCGAGAGGTGAGCAGGATGAAGGACGAAACGTAAACTATTACAGCCAATCAGGGCCGGCCTCACTTTTGACGTCACGACCATGACCGACCAACAGGTTTGGATAGACATGATGGCTCAGTCGCGGTCGACTGCCGAGTGCCAACCGAGGGGTTGTCACCATCGACATTTTCCCCCATTGACTTGTGAGAGGGTGAGGGGTGCAGTTCAACCACACGTGAGCTACGAAAGCCAATCGGGACATATGGCCTCTCTCTTTTGACATACATGACCATGACCGACCGACACTGGTTTATAGATATTAAAAATCACACGTCAACAAAATGAGAGCCGATGGCCCAGTCGGTCGAACCCCAAGTGCCAATTCTGGTAGTGGTGGGTTCGAGCCCTGAGTTGTCAGCACACACACACATTCTTGATTTGGAGAGGGTAAGATGTTGGACGGTTGACACGTGAAGTACGACAGCCAATCGGGACAGGCCTCAGGCTTTTGACGTCATGACCATCACGTACAGACCGACAGGTATATAGATGTTTAGAAATCACCCCTGAACTGATCGAGAGCCCTAGCCCAGTCGGTAGACTCCTAAGTGCCAAACTTGAGGTGGCGGGTTCGAGCCCCGAGTTCTCACCACTGACTCTTGTCTCAATAGGGCTGTCTAGACGACGAAACATCCGTGAGCTACGACAGCAAATCGGGATCCTACGTCGAAGGGCAAGGTCTTCATCTTCACCAGTGGCGAGACATTTCTTCAGCATCTTTTTTTTCAGACTTGACTGCTGACTCGGCCTTTCCATTCGCCTTGCTGATGTGCGAGGAGACTGTGCTGTTCTTAATTTTCCCAATTCGCATAAAGTCATTCCACTCTTGCGACGAGAACGGTGGCTCTTTGTCACTGACAATGATGTATGCCATATCTGCCAAAGTGATGTTTCAGCTTGCTTATGACTGACTTTCCAGTTGTGCTGTGCGCGCAAACGATCCATTTCCCACAAGTTGGACTTATACCACACATGTGGAAAAGACCGATGCCAGGCTGTCCCACAATCTTTTGGGAATGTCATGGGACATTAGCGGACGTGGGGCTTGGGGCACCTCATATTCTCTGCATGTCTCGCAGCACTCGATCCACTGTCTGATTCATTATTTATGCCAGGCCAGAAGACATAATCGTTCTCGTCTCAGAGTGCCTTCCACACCATTATGTCCCAGGTGCAAATCTTGCTTGATGACTTGTCTCTTCGACTTTGGAATGACAAGTCGTTCACTTCGATACACTATAGGCCCTCATGGACGCAGAGTTCGTCACGGACGTACGGAGACTGTATACGGTGTGATCTGTACAGGTGAGGTTTTAGTGTTCTGTGGCCATCCCTCCTGAATGCAACGCTCCAGGAGAACTTAGTGTGCGCTTGTCATCTGTTTGATTTCATGTATTCGCTTTTCGATCAGGAAGGGTCAGGAACTGGATGGCGTTTACAGTTTCAAACTCCTTCTGGCTAGGCTCATATTGAGGAAAGGAGCGACTAAGAAGGTCGGCAATGAGGTTTGTTTGCCCTGCAGATACTTCACCTCAACATTATAGGCCAATGATCATAACTGCATTTCTTGAATTCGTCTAGGCGCCTTGTCTAGTGGCTTTTTCACGCTACTCCCTAGTGTCATATAGTCGGAGTACACAGGTCTCTTGGTGCCACTTTTCAAGCGCAAAGACCACTGCACACATTCCCTTTTCAGCGACCGCATATACCTGGTCTCAGGGTCACGCAAGATACAGCTGTGTGGCAAGTGGTTTGCCATCTTGAAGTAGAACCGCACAGATGTATCTGTCACTGGCATCAGTGTGTATGACAGGTTCCTCTTCAAAGTCGAAGTAGGTCAGGACAGGAGCTTCAGTGAGTAGATGCTTCAACTTGTTGTAGGCCTGGTCATGGCAGGCGCTCCATGACCACTCGACATCTTTACGGGTGAGTGCATTCAATGGCTCCATCACCCAGGGAGGCATTTTGAGAGGTAGTTCAACATGCCTCTCAGCCTGTCGATGTCATCTTTGCACGTTGGTGGCTTCATGTTGAGCACAGCCTCCATCTTCGATGGATCAACTTTTGGGCCATGATGTGACCCAAGAGTCGCACGCCCTCACAGCAAAGCGCGATTTCTCCTTGTTGGGATTGACCCCATCTCCTTGCATCTTTGGAGCAGTTTGCAAACACGAAGATTGTGTTGGTCGACATGTACATATGCTTCTGCCACAAAATGGACACCTTCAAAGCCATCCAGGGCTTGAATCAATTCTAAAAGATTTCATTGCTGATCATCTTCATGACAAAAGGCCAAACGTTTCCAGCAATATCTGCTCCAGGGTGCGGCGTAAGTAGTCAGCTTACTGGACTCGTCAGCAAGCTGACAGTATCATGGGTAGACGTCTTGAGGTATTTATACAGGGGACCAGGATCGATGCAGATTTTGACAGAGCCAGATTTCTTCTTAGCCGAAGACATTTGGCTTACCCAGTCATTTGGCTCGTCTACTTCTACCAACACATTTCGGTGGGTCAGGTTTTCCAGCTCGGCCTTGGCAGCAGGCTTGAGTGCTTCTGGAACTGTGCAAGCACGTCGTGTGACAGGTTCAGCGTCAGAGCTGACGGTGGTCAGATGTATACCTTGGCCAGGCAGAGTGATTGTAATGGATGCATTAACATCAGGACTTGTGAGAACTTGTCGTAGTTGGTGATCCATCTTTTCAGCAGCCCTCCGACATATTATGCGAAGTTTACTGTGCTTCGCCCAATTTGTTCCACATCATGAGCTCAAATGTCTCTGACCTAATCTCTGTGGCATATTTCTTGGGAATCAGATTAACAGTTGCGCAACAGTCCACCTGGTGTTCCACAGATTTGCCCTTACTTTCTATACTGCAGTGTATTGGCTTGTCGTCTGTGACTGAGTTATGTCAGTGGTGACACAGCTCACATTCTCAGCTGATGAAGTGAAGCCTTTATGTTTCAAGCACCGGTAGATCACAAATAACGGCATAAATTGGACACAACTCTCTGGAAGCAGCCATGGTGTCTTGAGAACAAGTTACTTGAATAGCGCCCTCAGTGGGCTGAAGAGTATTAACCTGAAATGTTGCAGTGGCGTCCTGTTCGCAAACAGTCAAACACCGTTCGCTTGTCCGTTCTTCGCATTCGAAACCTTGTTCTCGTGTTCATTCAACACGAGAACGGGGTTTCGACGAGCGAAGTGTACGTGACGTGAAGCTAAAGGGACCACTCCGAGCATATTAAAAATGCTGTGAGTTCAAATACGGCCCCTTCAAAGCTGGAAAGTGCTCATCACTCTTTGCGCGGAATTGCCACATTACGCAGTTGCACACTATAACGCGAGGCTGAAATTATGAAATGATAACTCTTTTGCGTTATTAGATTGTTAAACTAGATCTGAAAATTCAGTCAATGTGCTAAAGCTTGCCGTTGCAGCTTCTCAACTCATCTATGCAAATTAGGGCCAATCATGGAAAGCGTCTACCTGACCGACTGGCTAGGGGTGCGTGGGATGGGGTCAGCGGCGGCGGAACGGTTTTCAAACTGGGGGAGGGGGGGGGGACATCACTAAGGCATCTTCAGTCGGTGCAGCAGCGTATCCAGAAGTTTTTATTGGCACATCCGGGCTGAAATGTCGACACGGGGTTTTTTTCACCGGACACTTGGCCTCCGTAAAACGTAATAGGCCTAGTGGGGGGGGGGGGGGGGGGGGGGGGGGGGGGGCTGATGGGCTGATACCATCTTCCAAAATAGGGGGCGCTCTTCAAAACCGGCCTTATGCAAACTACGCATTATTTGTAAGGGTTTTGGGGCTTGGTTTTTATATTCCTCGCCATATCAGAACTCTCTTGGTTGAATACTGAATACAAATTATCCGAAATTTTTGGGCAAGGTTTGTTTTCATCTCTAGCACATTTATGCTCGATGGGTATTTATGGCCGCAAGAGGGGCACTGTTGAGTAAAACTGGGGGAGGGCCCCCTGCCACCCCCCCCCCCGGATCCGCCGACCCTGTGTGGGGTCTTGGACTGCATAACACAGAACCAAATAAATACTCGAACAAAACTATAAGAGGATGCGGTCTACCGGATGTTCCCAAATACATATGCTCCCCAGTACCTATAGGCCATCAGCCTGGGGGGTTTGGCCAGTATCAAATCAGGGCATAAATGATTATAGTGCGCATGCGCAAGGTATACCGCCCCTAGAGTGGTAACAAGCATTTTGATGGACATTTTGAAAAAAAAGGGTGACAACACCCAAAAAGCTGCCACCGCTGCAATGCTATCACATATTTTCCAACTCTGAAGGTGTATACCTTGCCAAAAATCGCTATGACGATTATTCCCCTCATTTGATATCGGTGGCCAATATTTTGGACCGAGGCTAGTTATGGTTAGCGTTAGGGTTGGGGAACATATACATGTAGGTATTGGGGAACATAGGTATGCACCCCCGTAGATGACCGTTGCCAATGCGTCTGGGCTCAATCTATTCCCCGTTTAATGACTATGGGTGC